TAATACTACTTAGCAATATTTCTCCATATACGTCAGCACCGAGTAATATGTCAACCTTTCCCGGTGATGCAAATCCTGGATCGGCAAGAGGTAAAGTTTTTAATTCTAGCCAATCAGGTATACGTACTTCATGACCTGGTAATAATGAAGTAAGTGATTTTAATACATACGCATTGACGCATATAACTTTCCCAGGGACGTGACGCGACTCGACTTCAATACTAACTGCATGTTTAATCACCATTTGACCATCTCCCAAACCTGACACCTTACCATTTACATTTGTACGCTTAAGACCTAATAATTGTACAGTATCTTCACTAACAAAAGAAGCTTGCGAGCCTTGATCAAGCAACGCTCTAATCACATAAGAACCATTTTTAGAATTAGATTTTACAACAGCAGTCGCTAACAATACATTATAATTTTTTAAATCTTGTCTCGAAAAATTAGCTACTACGTTCCTCTCGTTCATTGTAGAAGTTTCTTCATTATTACATTGTTGAGGTTCTCCTTTAGATGAATCATTTTGTTTTAATATGTTAAAAGCTTCTTTATCCCCTTTCTCAAAATGAAGCAAAGTGTGATGTTTTTTACCACACTTGCGGCAAGAAGTATTTTGATGACATTTGTATACAGGATGCGTAGGTGCTAGACAGTTGAAACAAAGCCTTTTAGTTTGTGCAATATTTTGTCTCTCAAGAACTGGTAGCTTTTTAAATTGAATACAGTAATAAATAAAATGTGAACCATTACACATCGCGCAATTCTGTTCAGATGAACTCTGTTTTACATTCAAAGCTGAATGAAATGCCTTAGCTTTTACCGCTTGATTTAAACCTTTTGATTGTATGGTCATCTTATTGCTTGTAGTTTGCTTACTTGTATCGATCATCTCCAAAGTTCTAAATCTCGTTTCTAAAAATTGTTCTAACTGAGACCATTTAGGTAATTCATCTGATGCGGTACTTATATAATTTTCCCACTGTCGGTGTGACTCATGATCCAACTTTGACACTACCAAATGAATTATAACTGCATCCCATTGTTCCGTACCAATATTGAGATTATTAAGAGCCTTTAGGCAAGAAGTTGTTGTGTCTAACAAATGTCTAATGGAATTCGCAGATTCGTGTTGTATATTCTTTTGTCCAAATAATGTCTTCATTATAGCATTGCAGTTATACCTTTTGTTATTATAACGTTTAGTTAATTGCTCCCATGCTTCTTTGTAATTAGCTGATGTAGTAGCAAAATTCCTCAGAAGCACTTCAGGTTCTCCAGACAAACTCGATTTTAAGTAATGCAATTTCTGAACAGCTGATAGTGTATAATTTTCATGTATTAATGAGACAAACATATCATAAAAAGATTGCCACTCGGTGTATTTTCCTGAGAAAATAGGAAGTTGAATTCTAGGTAATTGCACCTCAGAGTTTCCTTGATTTTTGTTTGATGCATTCTCATTTGCGTCTATCGCATGTATAGTCGTGTTTTGATCGGTATAATCTAGATATTCCTTTAACAAAGCTTTGTATTGTATAAAAGATTCTTGAAAGCTATCCTGTAAGTCATCTTGAAAATATTGTAACGTTTCCATTTGCTCCTCCGTTGCTATGGCAACTATTTCAAGATGATTCTGGTTGAAAGCTTCTTCCAATTTGTTTAACGCTTCCATTCTTGCTATCAGATAACTAGATTTTGCCCGAACCTCATGGTTCGCCTTCTTAAGATTGCGCTCGGCTTTTCTTAATTGTTCAAACAATTCTTGTTGCCCTTTGATTAATCTCTCCATTTTATTTTATTAAATTTAGAGTAAATTTCCTTTAAAAGTCTTTCGAATTAGTAATTTATAACAATCCTGAAGTTCAACTCTTAAAATAGTACAAGTCCATAATATGTAAAACTTTCTAAGTCTATAGTAACAAATCACAAAATTTTCACAAGTCCACACTGGTTCTGAGAATTTTCTAAGTGTATAGAATAAAATCACGAAATTTTTAAAAGTCTAAAATAACACTAGTTTTTTCTAAGTCCACAGAACGTACTCACGAAATTTTTACAAGTCCAAGTATTTTCCTAAGATTCTTTTAATTCACTGATATCTAACAAGTTTATTTACTCACGGTTTTAAAGTCCAATTTCGTTTACTTTGCACTATTCTCACCACTTATTAGCACTTCACAGTTCACTTTGGTTCTTCTTCTCTTTTCCCGGGTTTCGGCACCAATGTTAGAAATGATACACGCTCACGTAAACACAACTCGTATATTCACTCGAATTTTAAACTCAATTGACATACATAAGCAGCTAACTAAGTACAACGGTAGTAATACATTTAATAGCGCGAACATAAATCAAACAATGCCATCTGTCGAGAAGCAGACTATACTATACACAATATATATATAACCTTTTTACTCAGAGTATGTACGTACGTTGGTCATTTAAGTGCAATAAATTATTACTTATGCTTTATGTTAGGTACAATGATTTATCGCCTTTATAAATGTTAATTATATATGTTCAATATCCTCTATGGAAATTATGTAAAATAATTTCCATAGAGGATATTGAACAATTGACTGGAAAATAATGACACACGGACAAACTCTTAAAACTAATCCTAAGTTCTTAAAGACCTTTGTAATCATTGTCATGAATGATCAAACATTATACGTGTAGAGTGATTACACGTGGTAGAGCCATGCTGCAGCTATATTAATAGTATAGTTGTAACACGAATGGGTCGGCTCGACCGGGGAAGGACCACGCTCTCACAGAATACCAGCGTAAAATATCAGCTTAATGCTGCTGTGTTTCGTATGGTGAGTGTAGAGAACTGGAGACCCTTTTTACTGGAAAAGAGGCATTCTATCTTAGTCCTCACGGCTGGCGCCTCTGAATTTTAATTCGCAAACGAAGATAGATATAGATGTCTATGGGCCACAGCAACCACTTACCATTAGGTGTGCTCGTTTGTCACCCTTATTCTATAAAAAAAAGATATGAACAATTTAGAATTAAAAATAACGCCAAGATATTGTTATCTTATTTATATCGATATTCAATTTGATGTATTTTAAGGGTGATTTGATAACATTTATAAAAGTTAACATATATACGGTTATCACGATAGAAGTAACAAAACTGGTTAAAAACTTTCTGAAGTTGGTGTGCGCCTACCTTAATTTTAGTAAATACGTAAATTTAGGTAAGTATCGTCCACTTACACGAGGAATTTGGAAAATCTAATCAGTTTAAGAAAACATTGTACAAATATAGTACATACAGTTTTAATAAACTAATATAAATTAAATTTAAAAACCCCCGAAATAAAAAAAAGCTGATGATCTTCTCACGGAGAACCGTTTTTGATAAAATATGTCTAAGAACCACCGCTAGAAAACCTGCTTTTAAATTTAAATCAAACCGCACCTAAATCGGTTCACCCGTTTGAGAGCTACACTGCCACAGACAAACACACAGACTTGCAGACAAACACACAGACATGCAGACAAACACAGAGTAATGCAGGCAAACACGCAGACATGCAGACAAACACACAGACATGCAGACAAACACACAGACATGCAGACACATACACACATAGCGGTCAAACTTATAACACCCCTCTTTTTACGTCGGCTGTTAAAAAATACATTTATCGACCTAATTTCAAGCTTTGAGGAACTCCAGGAGAGATATATACGAAGTCAGAGGAATGCCCAGCTATTACAATAACTTGCGTACTGTTACGTAGGTAAGGTAGATAGGGCATATATATATATATATGCCCTATATATGTTGAGGGTCATTTATCGGGATAAAACTATCCTATCTCTCAAGTTGGATCAAAATGCACACAGTATGCAAAATTTCATTGAAATCAGTTCAGTAGTTTAGGAGTCCATCGCGAAACAACGTGACACGTAATCTTTATATATAAAAAAGATATATATATATATATATATATATATATATATATATATATATATATATATATATATATTTAAAAAAAACTAATATTATCATACAGGTCTATTGCCCATGGTATAGTGCTAAGAACGTTAACTGCGTTTTCACACTGAATTTCAATACAAAAAACCAGCACTCTTGTCTCCAGCAGCAATAAACAGTCGTGGATACACTTTTTTTAGAAACTTCACCGCGGGTGGTCCCCACGGACTGGTGAGTCTCTACAATAAATGGCCACAAATATATAGTCATCTCTCAGACTCCCCTGATTCCATCCTGGCTGTAAAGGAGGCCAAAGTGTCTATGCACATAGCACACCTCTCTCCCAAGTGACTAAAGTCGTTGGGTCTTCTGTTAACGTCTCTAAATATTCTATAAGACCCTTAAACCGAGGGAATATTTTTAAAGACAAGACTCTTTGCATGAAAAGTCGGTCAAAACTTCGTGATAAGATAACCTAGCTAGCTACAGTCGAAACCCGTCAATGCCGCTACCACAAGGACACCGATGAAATCGACAGATCGCCGCTCCTAGTCGAATGCCTATGGCTATGCGTGAGCTTTCCACATCAAATTATGTGCCGAGATTACTCAATGGTAAAGCTTAACCAGTCACTAGATTCCGTAGTTGGAAAAATTATGATGCAAATCTAGTGCTCACTTGGTACCAATGGAATATCCCACTGTTTCTGTTGGTTAGCTTCCAATGAAATATTCTCTCAAAGATCATAGAATGCTTACCGTACCATATGAGTATGCCTTGCTTCTAAAGCAAAGCACAAGTCTTCTTTATTATTTAAATTACTGACTGAATTATTTAATTTACAATTTAAATAGGTTATATTTATTACACTAAGGCGGCCTTAGCAACATTTAAAGAAATACATGTTTCCTTTTTGTTCTTATGCCTTCCTTATACTTATGTATGCACTAAGAAATTTATCAACGGTTTTTTTTTAATTCCCAGGTATTATTAGATCTAAGTAATATATAATTGTATCTTGTCTTTTCTATTTCTAACAGGCGGGCCTTTTACGGACAGAGCACGGAGAATACTGGATCGAGCCTTCCAATCAAGTTCCCACCGATAATTCTGCGGGGCGACCACACGTAATATTTAAGCGTTCCGCTGTAGATAAAGTTAAGGCATTTCATCGAGCAAAGAGAGAGATTGATAGCAGAAGGAATGTAAATGTTTCTTACTATAATAAAAAAGAAAGCACTATCAACAACAAACGATACTCAAACTTGAATAGAAATCGCAGTAGCAAAGAGGCTAGGGATCAACGCAGACGAGAATATTTAGAAGAAAGACGAAAACGACTTGAAGCAATGCGCCTTAACCCGACTGAATACAGAAGGCATCAGGCAAGGTTACGAATGGAGCAAAGACGATTACAATCGACTTCAAGGAGTAACTCGGTAGAAGCCAGTAACTCTTATGAATCCAGTTCAAAAAGTAAAAGTAGAGAAAAGGTGATAGAAGGACTGAGATTACGACGCATTAGAAATAGACGAAGAAGGCGTAAAAGATCAAAGAACTGCGCTACAAAGCAACCTCCATATCAATGGAAAACCAAGAATTTTCAAGCACATAACGAAAAACCTTTAAGTAATTACAGAAATAATAAGGTATGTTAATTTTTTAAATAATTTTACTACCTAAATAAAATAAAAAAAAATTCTTGCTTTCAACTTATCGCAAGCTAATTGGGGGACAGAATAGCATATTTTCCTCTTCCATTCGCTTATATTAGTAAAAATATAAAAACATTTAATAATTGTTTTTAATTTCTGTTACTCTTTCTACACTAATTTTTTAAATAAATAGAGATTATTTTTGATGATTTCATAATTATGGTGATTTCATTACCGCTATTATTTTTAAGCAAATATTTTGTATTATGTTATCTATTTGTTATAAAATGTAACGTATTATTTTAGAGCAGCCGTCGAAACATGAATTATCAGCACATACATGACAGAAGCATGAACAGCATGAGACGGTCCACACGTTCAGTTAGCAGGCCACGTCACGTTGAAGTGCTGCTGGTTGCTGACAAATCTATGACCGACTTTCACGACCAGGGCAGCCTAGAAACGTATCTCCTTACTATTATGAATATGGTAAACATTTTTTTTTTGTTTACATTGTATTGAATATTTATACTTTATAACTTATTTATTGAATTTTTGTTCAGGTTTCATCGCTGTATATGGACCCCTCTATCGGCAATTATATCAAAGTCGTTGTAGTTAAGATCATACTAGTTGAGGAAATGCACGCGGCACCAGAATTAGAAGTATCAACAAATGCTGATGCCACTCTTGTGTCTTTTTGTCGATGGCAACAACAACTTAATCCAGATAATGACGATAATCCTCATCACCATGACGTCGCCATCTTAGTCACTAGGCAAGATATCTGCAGCCAACATGACACCCCTTGTAGGTACGAATATCATTTTATGACAATTTTATAATATTAATTAATAAAAGCATTTTATAGAATAGATTTAAACATAACTTAGTACCAGATTCTGAGCTTGTCTTTTGATATCAATAATTTAATTTCACTGATTCTGTTACAATCCACAAAACAGTCATCCTATGAATCTGTTCATTATATATTAATATGTATTTTGCTAATATAATATTACTAATTGACAACACAGACATTTGTTAGTGAACAATCTCTATCACTTCGACAAGGTCAATGGCAGGGGCGTACGTCTGTTAGCAAAGTAAATAGAGAGGCGGTGAGTAACCCGTCCAGAAATAGAACACTTTCCGACTTGATAGGCTACACCTGGCAGTAGATACATTCGTATCTTTAAATGCTTCTAACTGCCCACGTAGTCACTCTCCGCGCTATTAATGATAAAAAATACGGTCAGAAAAATGGAAATCGCAATTAGATTTTTCTTTTACTTACGCATTGTTTTATCTTCGATTTATTTTCTTTGTTTGATAATTTAGATAGTAAGTATTAGAATTTATTTCCTTTAGTTGCTTAAATTCGCGTACTGATGTAGGAATTGGTGCCTCTTTATCATTCACGACTGTACTTTGAATGTATATAGGAGTAGCTTTACGACAAAACTGACTACATTCCTCCGAAATAGCACATAACATATTTATATTTTATTTTTCTTAAAAGACGGTAACTAAAACGTTAATGTAGAGATAATATTACAAATTTTATAATTTTCAAAATGTCTTTATGTTTGAGTTATACTAACTTATAACGTTATCATTCAATAACCCAAAAAAATATGTGCCACTAAACCTTAGATATGAATTTTTATGTAATAAATCCATGTACTTTATAACGTTCAAATATAGTACAAAATCGATAAGATTAAGCAAGCACTCGAAATGCTACTATCTTGTTGCACATGTTCTTAAAAGATATATTTGCCGATATTACAACAAACATTTTCTACATATAGTCAAATATAACCAGCCATTATCGAGGCATTACATACTTATAAGAAATAAATAATAAGAATGTAGATTCAAATTTAGATTTTATCTCGATAGCATACTCGATAGTTAAACTTAATAAAATTAAGTTCATGACTGTTAAAACATAGGATCTTTTGTAAGATAAGAGTAGTATATTATCAGTTTTTGTGAGTGTTTGTGAAGCGCTAACAGCTATGTGGCCGAACTTCATGGTTGCTTCAAAAACACCGACATTAAGGCCAAGGATGCTGGGTGTGTACAAATTGGGCATTCATTACTTTAACAAAAGCCTATTACTATACAGAGTTGCATAAATTTATGAACGAAATTCGGCTTGGTAAAAAAAACTGGATGTTATTAAACACATATTAACACCTACACCTACTATACCTATATTTTGATCCTACATGTGTATTGTTATTAGCAAAATTAATATCAATCCATATTTTAATAAAGAATTATAAAATCTGCAAGTTTATGAATCTAAAATACATTTTCACATTACACGAGCATGTAAAATAATTCTTATATGTCAAAACATTTTAAAGTTTTTGAAAAACTGCGGCCTTATTAAATATATTAAAATAAGAACTCTCAATTTTTATTTAAGATTTTTAAAACATTTGATAAACAAAATTAGTTGCTTTTAAGTGATTAAAATACAATGTGATACTTAAATAAACATAAAACAAGACATATAATAAATTCATTTTGGAATTACTGGACGCACTGGGTTGCGTTCGGTAAACGGTACAAACAAGTAGTCGAATGTTCTGGGAAGTCGGCAATCAAAAGACAATGAGCCTATAACGGTGCCGACCAAGCCCAGGGCGGGCCTCGATGCAGTAATGCATAATGCATAAAAAACATAAAAATTTAATTTATCGATTCAATTATTCCCCATATTTCATTACCAAATATATTCATTGTTTAAAACCTCTCAGTTATTTCGTTTGTTTAGTGTTTAATCTGTTTACTTTATATTGTTTTAATAAATAGTGGTAGTGTAGTATATGTATTTGTTCCGCTCTCACTAAAGAAATTATTTGTTAAATGTACTGAAAAATTATATGATACCCTTCCAGTGTATATATAAGTATTTAAAACTTATCCTATGACTCCCTTATATATTCAATCTAAAATGAATTGCTGTAAAAACATGTGGTTATGCAAAAACTCAGAATAAATTACATAAGGAAATTTCAAGATCAAGTGTTGTGCATAAAAGTCGATCGATTGGAATTTACAAGCGCGGACATACGCCGCCGCCACGCGGTCTCGTGTCGCGCCTCTGCGTCGAGTTATCTCACCTCCACCGTAACGTACTCACTAATATTACACGAATTTCGCGTTCGTAATGTAAATCTTTCAATTCTTTTTATTGGCCTAACTTTTTAAATAACATTCATATATTTTGTTACGTTGTCGCTTAAATGTACGAATCCATTCATGACTCTTAAATAGCAATGTAAAACTATTTTACTCGTGTACAAAAACGCATTTACATAATTTGACGTTAAAGAATTATTTTTCCTTTTGAGCAGGATTATTTTATTATATTTATTTTTTGCGATAAGTAAACCATACGATTCAATGCTTGAAGGCCAGGTATTTACATATTTATATAAAAAAAAAACGAAAATGCGTAGTGTTTTTAAACAACAGGCATTTAAATACATGAACCTCTTGTTTATATGTTCTTCTGTTCTCGATATGAATGGTTTTTATTCATGAATATTTTTCTCTTAACGTTTTATGGCGCAAACCATTAAAACACAAAGCGATACCGAAAAGATAAAAAATATTAAAGCTTCGGTGCGACGTGACAACCTGTTCGCAGTCAATTAAAGCAAAGTAACACTTGGAAGTAAGCCGCTCGTGCGGCGCGATCGACTCTCGTTTGTGTTTCGTAACGCCGTTTTCGAAACTAATTCCAATTTCAGTTACGCTGGACCCCCGAGGAGGACATTTAACGACTTGCTGACAACTTATACTTGAGATTGTGACGTAATTATTAATTCAATTTTAAATTTTTCCAACGTAATTATTTATGAAACCCCCTCATATTGTTTGGTATTATACGCAATTTGAATTCAAAAAATATTTTAAATACCACTTAAACTTAACATTAAGTTACATTGTATTTTTTTTTTTCAAAAATATGCGTTAATTTTACGCAGCCCATGAGTTTAAACAACATAGTATGCCCATTTCAAGAAAAAGACATCAACGCGCTAAGATTATTTATGTTCTTAAAAGTAGACAAATATAATTTTTTTTTACATTTTTATTTTATTTTTATTAAACTAATGAAAGTTATTCTATACAATTCAAATATATAAACAGATAAACGAGAATAGAAACAAAGTTCTAATTACGAAAAAAAATTACTAAAACTGATAAATCGCGGACTGCCTATCGAGTGCATTTTGCGTATGGGTATAGGAATATATAGAATTTATTGAAGGGAATTTATAGAGCTTTTCGCCGGCTTCCGCGTGGCTGTGAGTCAGCGGCTAGTGCATATTATTAGCCGCCTATTCCCGTCCGCGCCGCGTCTGCGCCGCCCGCGCCCATTCCACTACTCACAACTACAAGCTTTAATCACTCCGTAGCACCACACCCGCCACGAATTCTACTTATATCAAATCATATCTCTCTTAATTGACACGATTACTTGGCATAAACTTTATGACCTCTTTGATTTACTATATTACTCTTTGTAAATATTGACTGCTGCAGTCTGAAATACTATAATAATACAATCAGCCCTATTGCGACCACAGCAATAACTCGTTATTATGAAATTGGAAGTAATGATGTTAATCGATTTTACTTGAGTGCCGTAAATTTATATACAAACAGAGATACAAACTTCTACATAAATTCATTTGGACAGCTTTAAACATATCGATTTTTTATGGATAAACATTTTCATTAGATGAGTGCAAAGATACTAATTCTTAATTATACGAAATCACGTTATGAATTTTAAATCTAATTCCATATATTTATCTTGTTTTGACTGCACAAAATAATATTCATTGAATAATTACCACGAAGTATTTCTAAAAATGTGTTTTAATACGGTTATGTAAAACTTGTTTTCTATATGTTTTTATTATTGTAAGCTTGTAATATTTTGTAAAATTAATATATAATACAAAAATCGGAATATTTCTTTAAGTTGTAGAGAAATTACAAGCAAGCAGTGCAATATTTATTGCGCAGCGTTCTACAAGTTCTTTTCAGTTCTGGTAAGTGGTCAAAGGCGATAGAAACCAGACTATCGACGAGTTTCTATTTTGTTCCAACAATAGCAAATAATAATTATATTAATATTTTACTTTTGGTAATGAAATACAAGGAATTGAGCGTCAATAAATAATTGTTATTACATAATTCATTGATGTAACGTGGCCCACCCTGTGTTTGGTCGGCGCCGTAACAGGATCATTGTCTTTTGACTGCAACATTTACTTACATCAATATATCAATAAACATAACAATTAGAGCAACTAAGTATTAACATTACACAAATTAAGTTTAAATTACTTGTTTCCCAGATTGGTTAATTCTTATAAAGGCTTAAGGATGTTATTCCATAATTTAATATGTAGACTCAATATCAATGAGACATTCCTGGAGTCGTAACGTGGTTTTGAAAAAAAAAAACATTATAAAACTAAACGCATAAAGTAGACTACCTAAATAAGATTTTACTGGGTTACAAAATCTTATTGATAGTAAAAGTAAACCATACTAGATAAATATTGACAAAATCATGTCTTGTTTACAATGTGCTTCAGTTGTGAATTGATAAGAAAACGTCAATATATATTTTTATATCTATTTCAAATCTGATTCAAAACTACTATATACATATATACGCGTTTTATTGTCTACCGAACCTGCCCTTGAAACGACGTCTCCATTCAAAACATTCGAGAACAGCACGGTTATGATTGTTCAATACTATTACCTATGTCTAAAGTAAACAACAGAATATTATTGTTCTTTATTATTACTCCTTGATTACACTGTGTTTTAACATGTTTTTCATGTCTAAAATTAAAACACAAACAACATTTTACAATAATAAAATCGAAATAAAATTGTGATTTATAAGAACACGAATTTTACGTTTCAAGTGCTTTGCAGCTCTAGAGTCACGGGCACTTGAAACGCCATAAAAATAAAATGCAATAAAATCAGTCTATTCGTTATCTGTACGTATATAAAATTACCAAAAATAATATTGATTTTTTATAGTTTGTCAAATCAGCAGCATCAGTAACATGTATAAGATCTCGGTCATGTGATATAGCATGTATAATTGGTTGCAGTACACTGGGCGTGGCGCATGTGGCAGGCATGTGCAAACCCGATCGCAGCTGCTCAGTCAATGAGGACAATGGCATCATGCTCGCGCATACCATCACACACGAGCTTGGACACAAGTAAGCTACAGCTCAAATTAACGTAGAAATTATATTAAGATTTAAACAACGTTGATTTGTTGCAAATTTTTAAAGAGTAGGTAAAAAGACTAAAAGTGTCCTAACAAATTTGCTTTTAGAACATATACGTAAGTTTTATTTCTACTCGTATTCCTAATTTTACTATTCCTTTAATTGTACTCCTCGACTTGCGTTTGTAATTCTAATGAAGCGTCTGAACATACGACCGGTATATTTTACAGTTCTAAGCCTAAATCTAACTACTGTTACTTTGCATTATTAATATATGTTTGAGACATATTACACTTTAAAATGCAACTATAAATGAACAAAGGTGGAACAGCAACGATTTGTGGTTGGTGTGCGTAGTTTTTATTTCATAGTAGACATCTGTACATTGTCATTTCCCCTGTGCTATCCCAAAAACGTTAAGTACATTGATAATAAGAATGTTGCAATGTAACATATACATACATATGTATAATTATGTTTTTGCAAGTAATTGACTTAGACTTACCACAATATCATAAATTATTTCACAATATTATACGGCGTGAAGAGCGAACAATGAGCTGTTCTTTGAGTCGTCGTCCGAAGCTGATTTGGATTTGTATCTATGTAAAGATATGCTACTTGTCTATGGAAGGCTTCCACAACTTTTTCTCCTACCAGGGTAGCGCCATTTTGGAATGAGATGAAATATTTGACAATTCTCCTGGCGGGGAATTTCAAATGTTAGAAAAGTGTCTTTCTTAAATAGTAGCCATACTTTGTATTCATTAGATAAGTAAATAGATAAACCAAACTACGGACATTGCTACAAGTGGAATAATACTAAGCTAAATTCTCAGTAAGGGATTTAGGAACAATTCCCGTGGTAGAACGGTAGAAAGAATCAGCGGGTGTACTTAACCATCTTTTCAGTGCTGTACTTTTGCACATTGTGCGAGTTTGGAATGCCATATCCAACAACCACGTCCGCTTTTTGAACTAATATGATATCCGGCCGATTATTTTCAACTCTGCGGTCAGTTAAAACCAAGCTGTCCTAATTAGGTTGGGCCAAATCTTTCTCGAGTACCGGCGATAGACTGTATTTTTACTAGGGCAATGTTTCCTTTAATAGACCTGTTTTACTGCCAGCTCTTGGTGATAATTTTTGCCATATTGCTGTGGCGATGGGTGTACTCGGTTCCATCAAGAGCCTGGCAGCTGCCAGTTATGTGCTGGATGGTCTCTGGCTTTTGATGTCACCGTCGGCACTCATCATCCTCAGTGCCAGTTTTGATAATGAACTTAAGATAATTTTTCGTAGGCATCACCTGATTTCACTTAATTATTTTTGATTATTATCTATATAAAATCTATCAGCTTTAATTTTCATTTTGTTTCGTTTACTAAAATTTTACTTACTCAACAATCTTTATGGTAATACAGCTGGTTGTGAAATTATTGCAACCATATTAGTGAATGTAAAGGACGTATCTGCTGATGCAATCAAAAATCGCTACAATGGCATTAGATGCTAGCAGAACCGGTTAAGGCCGCTAGTTATAAAATCAAATTATAAAATCGTTACACTACGTGGTTAGCACTTAATTGGATTGCGATCTTTGACTTACTAAACTTGATTTTATAATGTAATATGTAATAATATTTTTTATTAAATTCAAATTCTAACAAAGCCTCAGTTGGACTACGTTATTAACTGTGATAAATACTGACATTAAATTATTCATTGACTTTCGTATTAATGGCCCTTAATAATACTTTACCTGGTGATATTTATATTATTTTTAAAATGGTTACATTTTTGTATAATATTATAAGTGGTACTATAGTGGTGTAAATGTTATAGTAAAATAGGTATACTACAGATATTGTAATTTAACAAATATTTTTATTGATAGTCAGAACTAGTTACAATATGGATTGGAAGAACATTGTATAAAATTCAATACACGTCTAACTTTTGTTCATACTTTCGATGGCTAAATGAGTAAAAAGAAAACCAGTTAAAATGAAAAAGGAAGTAAGTATGGAAAAGAATCATTGATCTTATAATTTCTAGACAAATATTTGTTCTTGAAACTCGTAAGAACTGCCAGGGATAATTCAAAACAGCCAAGAATTAATGCTTTGCAAGACGAGAATGGCTATATTTTAAATGATGAAGCTTAAAAAAATGGAAGCAAGCAAAAATGGAAGCTTTGAAAGCATGTTTGAATGTTAGGAGTTATCTGAATTAAATAAACCTCTAAAAGAAAAGGAAGAAGGCAGTGAGATAGGTATGGATAAAATAATGAAAGCAACGAATAGGATGAAAGCAGGTAAGGCAGCTGATATTATATGATATGGTATGGTATGGAGGTATGATAAAGTATTATTTGAAATGCTGAGGGCTGGAGAAGGGGTGGTGGCAAGCGCGCTGTACAATTTCTTTAATTTGTGCGCATACTATAGCAAGTATGGAGAGACTGGTGTCTGTGAATTACCCAGTTAGCCGTCAAATGCCTTTTGATTGGCTGACGATTAAGTCGTACTCGTATTTATGTCGTTGACGAGCAAGTTGCAAATGATGGTTACATTATTGAAAGTATCATTAAAAGACAGAGAAATGAAAGTGAATGCAAGTAAGACGAAAGTATGTTTTTTGAAAGACGAGAATGTAAAAGGATATGATAAATAAGAATAGAAGAGAAGTTGATCGAGCTAGCGAATGAGGATGTGTGTTCGGGGTGTGTTTTAAAGCAAAGATGGCAGACTCGAGAAAAATATAGTACGAATAGTGAATAAAGGACACAGAATAAAGGTAGCTCTTCACTCAAAAAGACCGTTTAACAATTATTCCTTTCTTAATCTTGATCGGTGGTTTGAATACGTAGCAAGGATAAATAAGAAAATAATGATAAAGCAAATTTATGCTGCCGAAGTGAATGGCAAGTCGCCAAGTAGCCCTAGACGCAAGTTTATCAACTAAATTGGCGCTATATTGGAGATGAGCCAAATTAAGCGTAACCTTAATCGGTGAAGATGTGTATATGATAAGCAACCTATATGTATATGATAAGCATTCCGGGTTCAATCCCCATCGGCACCAATGAAATTCTTAACTGCAATTTCAAGTGCTGATTTACCACGTGCTCAGCGGTGAAGGAAAACATCGTGAGGAAACCTGTATGTCTGAGAAATAAGAAAAAAATATTTCGAGGCTGTAACTTTAACTTTAAATTTCATGTATACAGAGATACGAGTATATGGATGTGCGAGAAGCAAGAGAGGTGCGTAATTTCTGCCTATTATTCTGGGTGACAGGCGTGAGACCCTCCGCTAGGAGTAATAGAGCTCTGTGGACAGCCCTACAAACATTACTTCCTAGCTCCAGAGAGAGTTCTTTAAAATACATGTATATGTGTATATATATATAGGTAAACAAACGAAATGCCACATTTTTATCTGCTATCTTTTTATGATATCGTTAACATTGACGAATAAACGTTGCTTTAGATTTTTCGTCGACGATTCCAGACTTTTCTTAAACGATTCTAGACTTTTCTTTGACGACTCTAAACTTTTCATGTTGGAGTGATTGTCTCAGAAGTCAAAATCTTCTTACAAATTATAGTTTGCCTGTGCCCAACTTGAGACGTTTATAAGCTGTGACTTTATTTATACATGTAACAAGAACGTAGTTACAACTGCATTACATTACACTGAGATTAATGTGTTGTACTCATATATTTATGTATATATTCTTCATATATCACTAGATGGGTGTGTATACTGTACACGATTCAGGAGTAATTCTGTACTGAGTTTTATTTGGGAGCGGTTGCCTAGCATTTGAATAGTAGAGACTGAGTCATGTTTCCAAGCTGAGATTACCACAAGGACGTTGGTTCGAGATACTAGGTATAACCCATGAAAATATCGTTTGTTTTACAAAACGATTAACCTTGTCAAACTATTACAACATTCGGAACTTATTACAATCGGCTCCGCTAAATTGAAAACAAATCTTATATTTAATTAATTTTACATATTTCTGCTGGTTTTACTTTTAGATGCGCTATTAGTTGTTTCAAGTACAACTTATGCGAGCAACATGAGTACGATTGTAGTAAGCATATTAGACAAGTCTAACAATCCTAAATAAATACATGTTACGTAAGTCGTGCAAACAACGCTTTGCAGGCAATGACCTTCTTTTACTCGTAGACATATGAATGCATCATTCGTCGAGTACAATGCACTCGGTGCATTGACGCCGCGCTATCGGCCCACACAAGTTTGTTTTTTTAATGTAGTTCTCATAATCGCAGAAAGAAAAAGTAAAAAGACGACATTATTTAGGATATCAACTGTTTGGCTGATAATTTTGCAGGAAGTTTAATCAAAAATATACTTTCAGTGAGGTAGAATACCTTGTCAGCGAATTGCTGTTAAAATCAAACTTTGCAGGATATGTCATAAGTTTCGGCTTTCCGCATATGTCTACATCAAAGAAAAATTCCTAAACCTTTGTGTCAGTGTGTCAGTTCAAAAAGAAATAGGCGACGCACCAGCTGTATGTATAAATTTAGGCCGTCCACATACATTTGGAATTCGAATTCGATTCCGAAACGGAATTCCGAACACAACAAATACAGATAAAATCAAGGACCTATCACTCAAGTACGGTATTTTTCCGTCCGAAATTTTGCGGGAGAAACGGGATTCCGAAAGCATGTGGCCGTCCTTACACAAAGCATTTTCAAGCTACTTTCTAGACCCCCTACCCTCATAGTCTATAAGACCAAAGCTTTATTAAATATGCCAGTTTAAAGTTCCTCTAATCCCGAATGGATAAAAGAAAAAAACGGCGAAAGAATCTCACATAACATCGTATTCAATGTAAAAATTAACATGGACAGATTCTTCGTCATCGTTAAGTGCAACATAGTTTGTAATAGATAGATGCTATAATGAAATGTGTTAGAGTTCAGTTTTGTGAATACGTTCCTTCTTCATTACTTGACCTGTGACCAATTTCAATAAAATGTTATTAAAAATCGACATTGATGTCGCTACTAAATAATAACAAATAATTACGAGTGTCATTACTAATGTAATTAAGATTATTCTTAAATTTATTTTCCTGATCTTATTTTGTATGAATGAACGTTCAGTATCATTGTAAGATAAAAACAACTTAAACAAATATAAACATAAAGTAGCTTTATTAAATGGAATTTAATTTTATGTTTTAATTTGACCCGTGGACTAAGAAGGAGGGTTTCGATGCTACTAACTGAAAGAAATATTTGTTATGAAAAATATTTCATACTAACTTAAGTACAAACAAAATTCTCTAAAAAGTAATGACGGGTCTTAATAAAATCTTTAAATTTATACAAAAACAATAACAACAAGAACAAAAATTAAGAATGAACATAAAATAAACCGTAGAACTTTTAATAAGACATCTATTTCCGTTTCATAGATTACAACACAGCATGTTCCTAAGCCATCTGTATCCATCGACTACCTGCATGTTTCATCAGTTGTCTATATCATCTAATAGGGGTCGCCATCGTTATGTTCTTTACTACTGAACATATTATGTACTGTATGTTAGAACACTGCGCTTGTCTATACGAGACTGGCTCTGGAGAATGCTTTTTTCCATAAGAAGCTATTTTAGAAGACAACACAAACTATTTATAAATATATAAATGATATTTAGTTGCAGTGAATTTTACAAACGATAATAATTTTATGACATTTTTTTTGGGTTGTTTTGGGATTTCCGCAAAGTAACGCCTGATTCTATTAATTACATTTTTTTTTATTTTACCAGCTTCGGTCTGTATCATGATACGGAAAAAATCGGCTGTCATCGACGTGAGGGTTCAACATTGCACATAATGACTCCAATTTTCGAGGCTGACACAGTCCAGGTTGCTTGGTCACGATGCAGCAAGCGTGACGTTACCAATTTTCTTGAGTAAGTAATATTTAATACTTACATGTTCTAAACGTGATATAAATGTAATATAAAATATTAATATATATATATAATACATTGTACATCATGTATCTGTAAATTATATCTTTATATATGAAAATTTCGTGTCACATTGTTTGTCCGCGATGAACTCCTAAACTTCAATAGTTTAGGAGTTCATCGCGGTTCATCATTCAATTTCATTGACTGATTTCAATGAAATTTTACACAGTGTGTGCAGTTTGGTCCCACTTGACAGATTACTAGTTAGTATCCTATCTATTTATCCCGATAAGTGACCCTCAATATTTTTTTTGACAAAGCGTCGTTGAAAAGGTAAGAACAACGTCTGCCTGGCAAACTAGTATATTAGTTTATATTACAATTTTTATAGGATATGGTGAGAAACGAGCATACAGTCCTCCTGATCGTAAGTGGTTGCTGTGACCCATAGACATCTACACTACTCAATAAATAATCAAATACAGATGCGTCGTCACCCGTGAGGACTAAGATGGAATGCCTCTTCTCCAGTAAAATGGGTCTCCGGTTCTCTACACTTACCATACGAAACACAGTAGTGTCAAGCTGCCATTTTACACTGGTATTCTGTGAGAGCGTGGTCCTTCCCCGGTCGAGCCGACCCATTCTTGCTACATCTATACTACTAATATAGCTGCAGCATAGCTCTACCACGTAAAAAATATTATAATATTATATTTATAAATTATTATTATTATTATTATTTAATTAAATTAAATTAAAAACTTACGCTTTGACCGTTAAGTCCCGCGTGTATCGCATGACACGACCACAGCCAGACTAAGAAGAACGTACAGTCAGTCATCGCGTTTGATGTTGTCGGAAAAGCCGACATAAACAATAAATTGCTAGAATTGTCAGAACGGGAAGTGGTAAAAAAAAAAACTGATTTTGTTTTATTTCACGTTTAAACAAATTATGTGTATGTGGGAACTGATGAAACTAATGCCCCGTCTAGACGCCTTCGATGACCGGCTGACACGACTATGGGAAATACCACTAAACCACTACAGCTTTCGATGTAACGCGATATATCCATCTCCTTTATGTGAGACGTAAAATACCAAAACTGGCCACAGGGATCAGCGTCAAAGCTGCGAAACATCTGGTACTTACAATTCCCAATCCTGTTGCCAAGCGTCGTGATTTCCGATGTCCAGAGGTTAAATTTCACGGACTAATGAAGAAAACGATCGACTTTTGATAAAATACAATTCTTTGAACTTTTTTAATAAAAGTAAATTGGTAGTTAAAGTAAATAACGATTAAAATATTTTATTCGTAACGATTTTTGACAATTAAAAAATGTTATATCTCATAATTTTATAGTTCTGTACGAATATAACAATGACAACTTCTTTAGGGTGGTATTATGGTGCCGCAAATGTCCGTGATAACGCTTTCTGATCTCCGATCAGATGACGGTATATTCATTTATGTCAATAACTCCCTACTACAGATTAAAACTAATCTTACATAATCTACGTAATCCCTACCAAATTTCGACAAATTGTCACTAATAAGTACCTGGCATCATCAGTGTGACGAAATCGATTCTGTCACCATAAGGTCGATGCTGCCCCAGTGTGGCGAGTATTGGGTAAATCTGTCATGTTATGGAGTTCACTTAACACATTCCTGAAAAGGTCATACAGCAGTGGATTATTAAAGATATTTGAAGAAGACATATTATAAAATTGTTTTGTTATTAACTATTGTTTGCATAATATTAGCATTTTATTACGATAATCTTTGAGTGTAAATAAATCATAAACATTAATTTTTATTATTGATTGTTAAATGTAAACATAAAAATATTCAAATAAAATGATATCTAAACGACAGCGCTGCTACATATTATAATCAGGTTTCTCTAAAAATATACCTAGTTAAAATGCTAAATCGAAATTCTTCTCTTCTAATTGCTTAAATATGTAAATAATTTACAGCGCCGGTTTAGGCGAATGTCTCAGCGATAGACCTTCGCAACAAGAGTATGTGTATCCAGAAGTTCCAGCCGGTGAGTAAATATATAAAGTAATCCCAATATTGATATTATTTATAAACCCAATATAAGACCGAATATTGAGTAAATGTTTAATATTAAGACGGTAATGAATAAAGGATCGTTCACTGTTGTGCTCCAGTGAATGTTGGTGGACATCACACTTGAATTGAAAATGAACTGAAATTTTATTTCTCTTACATGTAGTTTTTCTCACGATGTTTTATGTTACAAAGCACGTGGCAAATCGTTACGTAAGACAGAGTCGGATTCAACGACGTTTAATCTCGAGACATTAAAAAAGTGGAGCAAATTTGCTTTATAATCAACTTCGAAACCATCCTTATTTACATTTTAGATACCATTAGTTCAAATTGCATTAGTACTAAAAACTTAAATCATGGTGATCCATCTCATCTTTAGGCCCGGGAGGTTTTAGTTTCTGTTGCCCTATTAACCACTGATCTACTAACTTTGCTCTTATAATGTAGTATAATAATAGCGATATGCACGCTTTTTCACCTGCACCTAGGATATTAAACTATATCAAGATTTTGTTACATACTTACCCTGAATGTTTTCATTTTTAAATATAATGAGAATACTTTTGATCACTAAGACTACTATAAATGTTTGAGCAATACGTTTTTACTCCGCGGCTAGAGTACTTTTAATTTCTTTGATCTTTTATAGAGTAGGTTGTACCGATCCTACGCTTCGTTTAAGGATGTTCTACTCCTACACTAAGATGTTTTTAAAGTATAATACGTCTTTGCTCCTACACAACATGTTCGATTGAATTGAGAGATCGAAAGAGAATTGCATTTTCGCCCTGCCAATTTATTCGATGAATCCCAACCTCCTGAATATACGTAACCTCTATAGAACGGTGAAAATTATGATCCATTAAAATGGATACCTCTCTTATCTCCAATTAGTCTGGTTGTGTATGAAATCGCTGATATTCCAACCGCATGTAGGTACCTGTGTGCATTCAGTGTACCATTTTTAATAAAGATTAACTACATACTATTTTTACAACAGAAGGCTGCCAAAAAATTACGAAGATCGCACAATAGAAATTGATTTACAGTGAAACCTGGATAACTGGGACCTTAAGGGACCTGCAAATGTGTCTAACTTAAAGAGGTATTCTACTTACCCAGTGTCTCAGATATCCAGGTATAAATAAATAACTGTCTCATTTACAAAGGGTTCCATAGAGGTTATTTCAGTTATAGAGGTTCTATTATTAAATAAAGTAACGTATTTTGTAAACATTATACATGAGTGGTAATCTTTATTAACAATCAAAAAAGCTATTAAACAAAAAAATTTCAAATAAATCATCTGGACAGTAGCAAAACCAAACTAAAACTGGAGGTCACTTTTACACAATTAGCCAAGTGCGGAATTTGCGTGTAGAATAAGAATTAGTTAACAAAACGGTATACAAAATATAGTCTCAGTAAAAGAGGTAAAATATACGCGTCTTAATTATAGAGGTAATTATGACGAATAAAATCGAAAGAACTAATCCCTAAAATATAGATTCAGTAATAGAGGTAAAATAAAATACAGTCGCTGTCTCTATTATAGAAGTAATTATGACGATAAAATCAAAAGAACTAATCCCAGAAATAGAGGTTTTTTTTGTCCCACTAACAGAGGTAGCTCAATGCTAAAGTGTTGGGACCTAAGCATGAGTTCCAGCTATGGATGTTTCTCACTTATCCAAGTCCCACTTAGCCACGTTTTACTGTATTATTAATTCTCTTATTATTTAAATTATTCGTTGACGACGATCCTCGCCAAATATCTAAAACCGGGCTTCATCTGCGAATAAAACGCAACTTCATTCCTCTCGAGTCCACGACGCACAGTTTCGAGCGAATCTCAGATTGACAACTCGGAGCTCATGTTTTTATTTAGGGCATCGAGAAAAAATACTTCCTAAAGTATTTTTATGTACTAACTTTTCGATTTCTTAGTGCTTAGCTCACTAAGATGCGGTCGTCCCGTGAGTCAGTACATCTTTTTCTTACATAACCTGACTTCCTCATGACGTTTTCTAATAGGTGTATCCATATAGGTGTATCTATATCAAAATCTTTATATATATAAAGATTTTTAAAATATATATATATCATATTTTTCGTAACTAAATATAAGTAATAGTATGTCGTGAAAAATGGTATATTTTGCTAAAGTTTACACGGTAATTGTAAAAGGTTTCAGTACAGTACATATATAACAGTATCCAATGTAATTTGCTGATACAAAAGTGAGGTTATGATTTCAAATCAAAACCTTTATATATAACCTTTGTATATATGTCTTCAAAACTAAATATAGTATGTCGTGAAAATGGTATATTTTGCACACACATATAACAGTATACCATGTAATTTGCTGATAACACATCCTATTTCTATGCACAAAAGTAAGGTTATGATTTTACAAATAAAATCTAAATTAAAAATTATTTTAGTGTTTACTGTACTAAACATACATACGTATGCACTTTACAAGTATAATTTTCATTTTTTTTAAAGCCACGGACATTTATGTGCCGTGGTTCAACTCGACTTAGTGCTTTGTGCTTCGTGAGTGTATGTCAATATTATTTTTATTTGTTTAAAAAGGTGTAACCTTCGATGCGGCCACACAATGTCATCTGCAATTCGGAGCTGAAGCTGTGGTGTGTGCTAAGCCGACGGAGCTGTGCGAACACCTTTGGTGCCTCGTGAATAATACTTGCAAAACTATGCTACGACCGGCTGCGCCAGGCACAACCTGTGGTGTAAACATGGTAATATCAATGTAGCTTAATTTTGCTGCAACCACATCTGAAATTTACTTTAGTAAATATCTTACGTAGTAGAGCTGCGCTGCAACATATTATACCATAATATCACTGCTACGTGGCTCTACCACGTTGATTTAGCCTATGTTCCGCGGTGAACTGTTAATGCGATGTAAGAACTGAAAAAGTTAGAAAGTTAGCGTATCCGCCACATTTCACAAGCAGATTGACAACAGAATTATAAGCATCTTAGACGACTAAACGTACCTTTCTCATATTTTCGCTTGTCCTTTCAAGGCCGGCGGTTATATTTAAAATGGATTTTTGAATTTTTCTGATGACGTGATATTTTTACTGCATTTTTATTTAATGCAGGTAAACACTTTAAAATAAAACATGCATTCGGCAGACTGGACTTTATGCCATATTGCCAGTTTATTCTGGGATATAATAAAAAATGTTGGCAGTGCAAACTGGCTGTTCAAATGAAAATAAAGCGTATCATGTTTAGTACCATTAAAAGTAAAATTGGACACAGTTTAAACACTGTTGTCTCTTAAGTGCCGGTATCAATTTTTGCTAACATTTTCTGCTTTTAACAACACTTACTATAAAGGGCGACCTTGTGTTTTTAAAACTTTTTTCTGAAGGCTATAGTAGTATTTATTAGACGGCTCCGTGGCGCAGTGGCTTAGCAATGAGTTGTTGCGCTGGGGGTCGCGGGTTCCAATCCCGCACGGAACAAGTATTTGTATGGCCTACAAATAATTGTTCCGGGTAATAATGTTTGCCCTCGTGCAATTTGTTTGTAAAATGCCTCCACGATACAGGAGAAAATCCTCGTGTGGGGGGTTAACGTTTTGTGTAAGAAAAGAGAAAGAAAAGAGTATTACTAAAATTCTTTTTCATAATTTTTACGTTCTAAAATTAGTTCGATGCACACTTTTCATCTTCATTAACAGCTCAACAGTCAACTGTTAGACAGCTTTTCCCATCGTTGAGAGTATTTGCCATAATCGCCACGATTGACACGCGGCATAACGATCGCTTGAACTGACCAATTAATATATTATATAAGGCATTATACCTATGTGCGAGATGGATATATCGCTGTCACGGAGGTCATGGGATCTCTATGACATTTACGAGTACTATAGCCTCTCGTAACACACACGAGACACGGTAATTCACACCACCGCAAATTATATCTAATACTGTATGTAATAGTGTTATAATATAATATGTAATTATGTTTATAAGTGCGTGTCCGTGTATGTGTGTGTTTTGTAGGTACTGTAATTGCTTTAATTGTGTAATGCAATAAAAATAAACAAATTGTACAGATTTTGTATTTGGTAATTTAAATTTTATAAAGCTATTATATAACTTCAGCATTATAGATAATATATATATATATGATATATATATATATATATATATATATATATATATATATATATATATTATAATTAAATTTTATTACAATTAAAAGATTTTAAATTTTTAACGAAGGAGAATATACATTCCGAATTCCGGTGATAACTCGAAAATTTGGTGGTTTTGCTTTTCACGTGTTTCTTTATGTATTATAAATAAACTAACCAATTTTTCGGTATATATTTTTGACTATATGCTCTTGAATTGCATAAAAGGGAAACACGATAACATATCATTTTCTCGATAGAAGAAAAAATTAAAAGTACGCCCTAATTAGTAACATATCTCCATGTCATCACAATATTTTTACGAATTAGTTCATGGAATTATTTTTAGATCATAGTAAATAATTATATCGAAGTCCACACAAACCATTTTTAAAATCCATAACGTAGTTTTGTTACAAAAAATATTGTATGGCGCATGGTCGGTATAGCTAACTAATAATTTACGTACATGAATTAATTGCATCACTTTTATTTCGACACTCCTCAGTCGTCAGTGAGCATCATCGGCGATGGGATAAGCCACGCCCCCAAAACTACGATTCATTTTCAAGGTATCCTCTCGTATATGCGGTATAACCATCTCGTTTACGTTAGACCTAAGATACCCAGACCTGTGACGGAAAACAGCGTTTAAGATACGAAACGTCAGATCAATTCGCCTGCCAAGGGTGACGGTAAAAGTACATCCTCTCTTCGATTGGAGAGGCCCATTTCCAACAATGGGTTTCTATGGGGTGAAGAAGAATAAAGATGATAAATACATCTGAATATACAGTCGAATTGACCACCTTCCATTTTGAAGTCTGATATGAAAATAAGGGTCGTTCCATCGCAGTGGTGCCAGAACCAGACATGCGTGCCGCGCAGTCCGTCCCCGGAGCCGAGAGACGGCGGCTGGGGCGAGTGGAGCGAGTGGAGCGAGTGCTCGCGCACGTGCGGCGCCGGCGTCTCCACGCAGTCGCGCGAGTGCAACAAGCCCGAGCCGCTCAACAACGGCGCCTACTGCATCGGCGACAGGAGTCGGTCAGTGGTACTCTAATTGCTAGGTGCAGCTACCAGTTTCTACTTTAGTTCTGTTGCAGATGTGGCATTTCGGAGTGAATACGAATATATGTAGTAGCGACATAATAAGTAGGCCCTCACTATGTAATCTATCTGAGTAAAAGTGAAATGAACTGAAAGAAATGACATGAAAAGAAATGAAAGAAATGAAATGAAATGAAATGAAAGTAATAACTAATTAGCTATTTTTGCCGTAAAGCAAAGGTTCCGGTTTAAAGTATAAAAGAGATAGCATAATTACGAGTTGTACTTAACTCCTATCTATAGCTTCCTTTGCTTAAAGCAGGAGAACCCGGGTATTATCCCGCCAGCCAACATGCACCAGAGAAGCGTGGTTTAAATGCTCCATAACCCTCTCAGTAAACCTAAGCCTAAAGTAAAGTCTCAGTAAAGGAGGATAAAAACTATTATTTATAAAAGATTATATTACTATATAGACAAATTTGACATTACGTTAACTGATCATAAATATTTATAATCAGCCAACGATACTAGTATTACGTGGTTTTTTTTTATAGGATAAGGGTGACAAACGAGCACACAGTCCACCTGATGGTAATTGGTTGCTGTGACCCATATACATCTACATCTATCCTCGTTTGCGAATCAAAATGCAGATGCGTTGTCACCCGTGAGGACTAAGATGGAATGCCTCGTTTCCAGTAAAAAGGGGTCTCCGGTTCTCTACACTCACCATACGAAACACAGCAGCGTTAAGCTGCTATTTTACGCTGGTATTCTGTGAGAGCGTGGTCCTTCCCCGGTCGAGCCGACCCATTCGTGATACAACTATACCGGTAATATAGCTGCAGCATGGCTCTACCACGTACAAATATATGGATGTATATGACTACTTACCATCAGGTGGACTGTGTGGTCGTTTGTCAACCTTATCCTATAAAAATAAAATATTATATTGCAGGTACAAAGTTTGCAACACAGATCCGTGCCCTATCAACGAGCCAACGTTCCGAGAGGTGCAGTGTTCTAAGTACAACAACATGACCTACAACAATGATACCATCACGGAGTGGATACCTTACTTTGATCAAGGTTCATAAATTTATATATTATCCCAGCGATACCCTCCCGCTTCCCACGGGTGATTTCTGGATCTCGACAACAGCGCCACCTACCGGGTCCAATTGTGAATCTAAACTATCTAGGGACCCATTCAAACACAAAAAATTTCATCAAAATCGTTCGAGCCATTTTCGAGTTTTAGCTATACTAACGGACAACAATTGATTTTTATATATAGAGATTTTTAGAATAAAAACAATAACACACAATTTACATAATACGGAAATGTTATATATATAAAATTTCTTAGCTCCAGCTCCGCGCTGCAAAAGCTTCTAAACGAATTGGCTGATTGAGGTCACCGATATTATTTTGTTGACATAATGGTTCATAGCTATTCTAGAATTCGATAGGTGGCGCTATAGTCATGTTATTAACAAATTCTATATTTGTGAACCAGGATGACTCATATTCATAATATAATATGTTGGTTAAAAAAGAAAATCACAAAATCTAGACCCAATAGGTTGCGCTGTGAGCAAGTTATTAATAAATTTTATATAAACACTGTAAAGTCAAAAAAAACTCATCGTATCACCACGGAATATAACGTATCACCTACCGGAGAAGATCTGTCATCTGTTACGCCAGCTAGTACAAAATGTACCAGTAATTAACTTATACATTTGAGATCAGTTTATGTTATGTACCTACTAAAAATTTTGTAAAAAAGAAAATATTAAAATGTTCCATTATCCATTACATCCTCTAAAAGTCCACTGTCGAACATATGCCTCCCCATAGGGGTGATTTTGATATTGCTGCCACACTTGGCAGGCAGGTCGGCAACCGTAATTTTTTATTATTTTGTCGCCTCTTATGAGACCCACGGGGCGATAATAAGGTAATAGATGTTCATCATTAAATATAAGCATGCTAAACATAAAATATCAGTAAAATAAAAAGCGTTAATAGCCTAATGGCCGGGCGCGGACCCCGAACTCGAAAGGTCGTGGGTTTGAAACCGCCATTCGACTACTGTCGTGAACCACTTCTATCACAAGCATTTTAAGCTTACCAGAAGTGGTTTAAGGGAATATTAATAATGTTTAATAGTATTACTAGTATTTAAAAAAAATAATCTTGAGATTACATATTATATGTATATATGTGATACAAGTAGAGCCACGCTGCAGCTATTTTATGGTTGTATTCTATAAAAAAATAAAGTATTGTTTTAAATTAATCAATTCAGATATCCATTATCTATTTTATGACGGCACTGTATATTTCTTAATCTTATTTAATAAACACTAATAGGTTCTAAGCCGTTTCGATTAGTTTCTGGTTCTAAGTCAATAAATTGATATTTATAGATAAACCATGTGAACTACAATGCATTCCTCGGAACCGAAACGATGTGGAGATGCTAGGTGGATTTGTGGCTGACGGGACGCCGTGCAAGCAAAACCTGGGCGCCAGAGACATGTGCATATCAGGTGAGAGCTTAAATAGTTGTTAATAGATTAATTTTATTATATTTATTGTGATTGTCAACTACGTTTGCAAGCAACATTTCAATCTTATCCTGTTTTAGTAGCTAAATAAATTATAGTCTATCACAGCAAACATCAAACAACATGTTTGTCTATTAAAATTTTACAACAAACATATTACTCCGTAGAGCCGTGGTAGCTCAGATGGTTAGCGCTAGCTTTAAATTTCACAGTACGCGAGCAAACCGTGTTCGATCCCCGCCGGCACCAATGCAATTGTTAATTGCAATTTGCAATTTTAAGTGCTGATTTACCACGTGCTCAGCGATGAAGGAAAACATCGTGAGGAAACCTGCATGTCCGAGGAATAAGAAAAAAATTATTACGAAGACATGTGAAGTTCGCTAACACGTATTGAGGCAGCGCGACGGACACTTCCTTGCCATAAAACCCTCTCAGAAATGAAGGGAGGCCTGTGCCCAGCAGTGGGACGTATTTAGGTTGTAACTTTACTTTACTTTTATATTATTCCATATTCTTTAACTATATTTTTAACAAGTAAGGATAAAAGAGTAAAGTTACAAAATTTTACGAAAAAATATAAAATATGTGGACAATATCGAAACAAAACAAAAAAGCTTATATTGCATGTCAATTTATAATGTATTATATATGATTACCTTCCTGTATATCTCTTATAATAATTAAGCATAATTTATTTTTAACATTTTGTAACTATCGTGGAAAATTTCTATATAATTGCATAGGCCATGATAAAGTGTAATTCTTTTTTTTTTCTTAATTGCGTTTACACGCTTATATCCTGTACAGTCTTTAAACGGAGCTACAGAACGTATTTCACAATCTATGGTATATTATTACATACTCGAAAATATTCTTTCAAATATTTTTTTTTTATTTAAATACACACTTACTACTTAATTGATGCTGCTTACCGACAAAAATAGGTAAGAAGGTCATACAGTCTCTTCATCATCATCCCTCAAAAGAAGTATGTCATTATAGGCAGTATTTACTATTTTATTTATTGATGCTGCTTCCCGTTGCCGGTCTAGACAAAATATATCAAACGTAAACGAGTTACTAATATCGTCATCTATGAAACGCCATTTGGTCCCACTAGCATTTCCCATCGTCGCCTCCCTCATACGTTTTCCATCCATCCATCCATTATAACCTATAAAAGTCCACTGCTTAACATAGGCCTCCCTCATAGATTGCTTCATGGGCGGATTTTGCCACAGTTGCCACGCTTGGCAAGCGGGTCGGCAACCGTTATTTTTTATTATTTTGTTAGTTGTTATCAGGAAGAGGCTTTTATAGAATAAGGGTGACAAACGAGCACACAGTCCACCTGGTGGTAAGTGGTTGCTCTGGCCCATAGACATTTACATATATCTTCGTTTGCGATTTAAATTCAGATTCATTGTCAGACGTGAGGACTAAGATAGTATGCCTCTTTTCCAGTAAAAAGGGTCTCCGGTTCTCTACACTCACCATCCGAAACACAGCAGTGTCAAGCTGCCATTTTACGCTGGTATTCTATGAGAGCGTGGTCCTTCCCCGGTCGAGCCGACCCATTCGTGCTACAACTATACTATTAATATAGCTGCAGCATGCCTCTACCATGTATAAATGCTGCTGACTATCTCCTGTTTCATTTTTCCTCTGTCGCCTCTTACGACACATTTGTTATCTTTATATTCTTTTAGAATTAGGGAAGTTATTAATTCGTTCTAGAATAGATGCGACATCATTAACAGTACGTTTATGTGATATTTCTCATCTGCAGGTGTGTGCTATAAGGTTGGTTGTGACTGGATAGTGGATTCTGATTTGGAGGAAGACGCGTGCGGCGTATGCGGCGGCAACGGATCCGCGTGTAAGACTGTGCTCGGCATCTACAATAAAGATACCACAAGGCAGTCTGGCTTTAGTGAGGTGAGTGATTTCTGTTGAAATTATTTATTATGAATGAAAGGCGAATGAATGAATGATTCATTTATGACACAACACAACGTACAAAGAAATTAAAACAACAAACAAAAAGTATGTATATTCATTAGATTGCAGCAAAGTATAGCATAGCATAATGCTGGGTCAGGTGCCTCAGTGTTGCAACAGCCACAGCGGTATTGTTAGTAAAAGTGCTAGATCTATAATCATCTGACACCTATTTATTTTTTGGTTATCTAGTTTTTTTTTTTATTTAATTTAAACTGCTGAGATAACCATCGTTAAAATAACGATTTAAACAGGTTGCAGTAATTCCGGCCGGTTCGAGAAACGTTAAGATTCAAGAGAAAGTCAGCCCCGGAAACTACATTTCCATACGGAGCGCTAAATCAAGAAGAATGTATCTTACAGGAGCTCGGTAAGTTCACTTCTAAAAAAATTTAAATCTGCAATCTTATTTATAGACCGATTGGTATAGGAAGATATTTTAGCTAAATACAAATCTTTTCAGCTTTATAATTAGTTTATATTAAGTAAAAAAGCTACTGAATCATAAATATCTCTAATAATGACAACAGAAACGCCACTGTGTCGGAGTACTTCGTGGCAGGAGCACCAGCGATCTACGAGAGAGATCGTGACTGGGAGAAAGTACGAATTAGTGGACCTCTAGCCGAAGATATAAAAGTTTTTGTAAGTGAAATTATTGTTGAAATTTAATTTTAAATGAGTTGCCAATAAACAACTCACAGCAGATTGGTGACTATGTCCTCTTAATCGATTTGACGTATGGTGGCGGTGTAAGGCTGCGTTTCCACCAGAGATGTGCTAGGCCACTGAGCGGTGCGAGGATCTGTAGCGTAGTAGAGAACACATACCTCGCACACAGCCCTTGAACACATCCCTCGCAACACATCCCTCGAAACACATCCTTCGCATATATTCATCCCTTGTTTTGTATGTACAAAAACCTCGCTCCGCTGAGCCGTTTCCACTAAAGCTGCGCTCAGCGAGGCTAGGTAAATGAAGTGATTCTATTGGTTCTTAACAAACACATCCCTCGCTACGCATTCTCGCACATCTCTGGTGGAAACACAGCCTACAATTCCCAGTCTGAGAGAATTTCCAGTGACATTGTGGTGTCGTGTGAAGCAACTTTGGATATGTCAAAAAGTTCTTATTGCTTTCGTTAGATGGCGGTATAATCATCTCGTTAACGCCAGGCGTAAAATATCAAGGCCTTCAACGGAAAGCAGCTTTATAGGAGCGAAACGTCTGGCAGATCGTAAATCCTCAAGCGTGACGATTATACATCATTCCCACAATAGAGGAGGGCCATATCGTAGTTTTGCCGTGAACTTTTATGGGCTGATAAAGACGAAGAGAAGAAACGGTTTCTACTATAGCGAAAACTTTCGTATACTATACTATAAGCTATCAACTGCGTAGGAGATACGTATGTTAGTGTACAAAAAGGCACTCATTCGTATAACTTAGCTAAGTATGTCCGATATATCGGAAACCCGGAAACAATCATATACAATAGATAAGGGAATAAGATCTAGACCCGAAAACCAGTAATTTATGTAATGACTAAAAATATTCACTCATTTTGTGATCGAACCTAGAACTAACGGTTCTCGAAGAAGGTTCTTTGACAACTAGACTATGCGGTCGGAACATTAATATTTCGCATTAGCTTGTAAATAAATCCACTGCTGGACTATCGCAAAGTAAGGTGGGCGTTATCGTATCGGTTGTCACAGTACCAGGCGTATTTTATCTTTGATGATGTTTACCGTCTCTGTTTTGGGCATTTTACATATCTTACCGGCTTACCTTTACATCCTATTAAAGTCCACTGCTGAACATAGGGCTCCCCCATAGTGCCTCACAGCTTGGCGCACTTGGCAAGCGGGTTAGCAATCACAGTTTTTATTTTATTTTTAGCCGTTAGGTATTAGGAAGACGCTGCTGCCCATCTCCTGATTTGTTCCCCGTGTGCATCGATCATTTAACCTGGTTAAATGCTCGATGCCCGTGTGTGTCGTAAAATGTCTCTAACTAGGCTTGGGCAAAAAATATCGATATATCGATATTTTTTAATAAAAATATTGATCGTCGATATTTTAAATCGCGATTTTTCGTTCGTTATTTATTTTAGAGTATCGAATTCGTATCAATTTCGATATATTTTAAAATGTTGTATTAATAACAAAACATGTAACAACAAAAGGAGTTACAAACGTATTCATGTGTGTTTGGTTATCGTTTTTTTTTTCGTCGTCCAACCGTCAGTAATATAAAATTTTGGACCTTATCTTTACATCATGCTAATGATGACGATATATCGATATTTATCACGCGATATATCCATACTGTTTAAAATATCTGTTCGCGCCAAACACTTTCAAGGATTGACGCGAGATGTCACTCGGCTCGGCGCGATACCGGTTTGACTTTCGGTCGTGCGTTCCCTTGGACCTTCGAATCCATTTTGAGGAGAGGTACGGCGGGGACGAGGCCTCCTATATTCCGCCCTTCTATGACCTGCTGCGGTTTTTGGAAGAGCAGTGCCGGCAGATCGAGAACGCGGCGGGCACCGTTGATGACTTACGAGACGTGCCCAGTGAGAGGCTGAACCCGCCAGGCAAGTCGTCGTCAACCCCCCCCTGCTCCTATTGTCGAGCATCTGATCACCGGGTAACGTCGTGCCCGAAATTATTAGGTAAGCCGGTTTCGGCGAGGCGAACTATCGCCAAGGAGCGCCGCTGGTGCTGTTCATGTTTGGGAGGACACCTCCAGCGAAACTGTCCGCATCGGCGGCCCTGTCTGCATTGCCAGGGCAATCATCATGCCGTTTTGTGCCTGGGTGCGAACGGCGTCTCCTCTCGGGGCTCTGCCAGGCCCTCGACCCCCACGGGCGGGGGCGCTCAGCCACGCCCTCTGCCGGGCGACTCTCGGCGCCCGCCGGCCAGCCATCAGGCCCCTAAGTTTGAAAGGGGTCCCTCCCCCGACCAGTCGGGGGGTAATTCCCCCAGGGGCGGGGGTGTCATCACCCCCCCTAAGCGTGTGGAGAGGAACTTCACGGCCACTCATCGGTCCGCTGGACCCTTCTCACTCCCGTTAGCTGAGTGGCCGCGACTGGAGTACCACTGTTCCCCATTTGATGGAGGCGGCCCTGGCTAGCTGCCGCCTTAGCTCCCACCACGGCCACCTCCACTGAGCCTTAAGCCGTCAACAGTCCACTTGTCAAAATGTTCTGTTGCCGACGGCCTCAGTGAAGGCGTACAACCCGAGTGGCGATTGTTAGCGATCTCGGGTTCACGCCATGTGGCCTCCCCTTGGTGGTGGGAAGATTAGGGCCCCTCTGGAGCGTTGAATCACGCTATCAAGGGGTATTAGATTTGGTTTGGTCGAGCACTTAGTCAAAAAATACTTGAATTAAAATTAAGAAATGGAATGGCGCACTATTTGAAAAATTATGTTTATGTTTATGATAGTGTTTAATCATTTTGCTTTGCGAAGAAGTAGGGCTGTCCCTTACGTTATTGTTTTGTTTAATTTGCAAGTTGACCTATGCGCATCGGTGATTAATTTGGTTGAATTAATTCTGTAGTTGCACATTGATGCTTTTGAAAAATTAGTTGAAATATGAGCATAGGACTTCTTCTTCTTCTTCTTCATAGGATTGAAATCAGCTGCCGCACTATTTTAGTAAATGATAATAGGGTGGGTGGCCTGGCTAGGCCTACTTGTTGAAAATTCATACTAGGGACTATCTGTGCGTTTCGTTCGGCTCTCCACAGACGACGTTCATGTGGAATTTGTGGGTGCTCTCTGTACTGAAGCTTAGGAGGCCGCTCGAGGCCGCTTCGTGTCGCGTCACTGTTTGCAGAGCTGATCCGGTCGGATTGCGGAACTAATCATAAGGCGCACAGATAGGTGTTTGAAAGAGGTCGTCGGACTTCTGTCCAGTACAGGACTTGTTAAAGTGCTGCGATGCCCAGGAGGGGCATCCAGTGGAGGCTGACCCTCCGGCTTGCCACATTAGGGCTATTTTTTGAGGCGCTGGTTAGGGTTGCAAGATCTGATGGGATGCCTAAGGTGGCCTAGTTTGGTTGTAGATTCGGTCTTGCAACTTGCCTTCGCGACCTTGTCCCGCTGACCGGTTTGCTCGCGGACCTAAATCCTTATGTCCGGGGCGGGGGTTTGTTCGCGCCAAACACTTTCAAGGATTGACGCGAGATGTCACTCGGCTCGGCGCGATACCGGTTAGACTTTCGGTCGTGCGAAAAACGCCCAAGGGCAGTCAGTCGTCTGTCAGGTGTGCTAACAATTGGCACGCTGCCAATTAAGCGCGGGAACTCGGAATAATTAAGCGCGGACAGTAAAAATACGGTCTAGGAATTTTGTGGCGCGTATCCCTACTGGAGAGCTTGCCCAGGACTTATTGAGTCCGACTCAGAATCTGTATAGTGCATTCGACAATATTAGTTAGTGCGGCCTCTGTATTCTAGAATTAACTGTTGCTACGCGAAACGGTAGTGACCTTTGACCCAGAAACTCCGGGGCGTGTTTTGTGCGGTAACCTTATACCCCGCGATAGTTAGTGGCTTCTGTAAGCTAGTTAATAGTACGATAGAGTTAAGTGACTGTCATCGTGGTGAACCAGAAAGTGACTGTGGATAACCTCGAAAGGCCCCCTCAAGTTGGAGCGGTGTCGACGCTCGGGCTGCTGCCGACGGCTAAGGTCTAGGTTCAATCACCATCAGTCACACCCAGATACTCACCACATCACCATTCTTTCCCTTGCACTACACAACCACATGTGACCTGACCGACTCCGGAGGGACCAGTAGCCTTGGATAGAGGTAAGTGAACTCCGCCAAATTTCTTCCGGTCGACTGGCCGTAGTATAACGCTCCCCCATATATTTAATGTAATTAGGAATTTCCACGTGGCCACATTGGAGCCCGACCTACGTCTGCTCGGGAGGCCTTCAGCTCATGGGCCCCTGACGGTCTGGTCCTTTAAGGGAGCAGCCGTAGGCCGTAACAATATCGATTATATATATATATATATATATATATATATATATATATATATATATATATATCGATATATTTTTTCCCTTGCCCATCCCTATCTCTAACGACATCCACGGGATGATATGGGGTAGTTGATATTCTTACACCGCCACTACACGGTAAGGAACCCCACGAAATGAGATGTGCTAATAGATTCTCTTACTCCGGTTCTAAGGGGCAAACATATTAACATAATATAAATGTAACAGCAACGGATCTTTGGTGGCAAGCATCGCAACCCTGGCGTGACATACCAATACACGGTAGACCGGCAACATTTGCGGCGACGATTCTCCTACCGAATGTCGGAATGGTCGGCCTGCTCAGTGACCTGCGGAGACGGCTACATGCGCCGCTACTACGAATGCGTCGACGAACACAACCGTAAGTAACCACTATTTAAAACTGTAAAAAAAAATCTATTATAAATTAATACAAATTATTTTATGAAACTTTTTTTTGCATATAAGTAAGGGTGAAGAATAGATAAAATTATTTTTATTCAATATAGATTATTACGTAATACTTATTGAAAGTATTTTTTTTATTTACCATTGGTTTAGAAAATACCTCGCGAGATTATTTTTTAAACATATATGCTTAAAAAATATTTATGTATATCCATAATTTTGTACAATTTTATATGAATTTTAATAGAAACAGCATGGTAGAGATCATCTCATCCTCAATAAGCACACAGTCCACCTAACGGCACATGGATTAGATGGTACATAGACACCTTAATCTCTACCCCCGAATTCAGATGTATTTTCATTGTCATCACCTGATGAATTCACGTTCATAGACCACATGAACTCCCAAATAGTGATTTTAATAAATACAATCAACCCATAAAAAGGACTTTTCAAAATGGCGACCACTTTTTTATTCTGACAACGGATACGTGATCGGAGACGACACGGATCCACAGATATGTAATTGAAGACAACACAAATCCTCAGATATCGATTGTGAAAGCTATCGGGCAATTAAGTAAAAAGTTAGTGACCACTTTTTCCAACTCAGGAGGCCAATTTACCAACTTTAGTATTATAAGGAACGGATTTCATCCGATATAATTTGTACACAAGTAAACGCAAAACCTGCCCACAGATAATACCATCCACAAAACTATAAATCTACACCCACAGCTGACCGTACTACGAATTCGCTTAGAATGAGTGCGTTGATTCGGACCTTTGTATGGAATTGATTAACTATTTTAGCTATATATTTTTACTGTGGCGTTACTAATGCATTCCGTAAGAACCGTAACTGCGTCAAATCACCATAATATGGTATATTATGCGGTGTTCTGTTACATCATGTTAGCCCGTGGAAAGCAAGATTTTAACAGTGATGAACAGCGTTACCGCCTGCACTTATAGCGTATAATGGCACTTTGATGTACATGTTCACTGCGCCGATAAATAACTCGCTTCTTCAAAATGTGTTTGCGCACAGCGCAAGAACGGGATATTCGAAGTGTTAATATGTTATCTTATATTATTGTTAAAAACTGCAACTCCGTGAAATGTAAAAGGAGTGATACATAGTAATATGTAGGTAATCTTTCTTTTCTACATTTTATTTTACTTAACTACTAGTCACACAGTTTTATATTGACGGATGGCTTAACAGATATGCTTAAAATTTGTTGCGCAATGGTGCAATTTTGAGTTAACACAATAAGCCGGTGCAGTAAACTGCGCCTGAGTTACTGATTTAACGCAAGGAATTTCGCTGTAGACATTTGTCAATTGTGAATGATTCGTTTATTTGACCCGGGTCACATCAAGTATTGATAATTGCAATTACATATTTTGAACGTTCCGGATCAAAAGATTAACAGGACTTAAGACCTGAGTATGTTAATGTCCGACAAACGACATTATCGAGCGGGTCTCACAGATGACAGAGTACTGAAACTCGAAATGATCCATTGAATGATCGAGCCGAACAACTCGGTTCATAAGACGAATCAATACTTGAATGATCGGGTCACTAGAGATTAATGAATGACACATGTCTATTTCGCTGGGTTAGCAATGAGTAGTTTAATGTTGGTGCAGGCGTGGTGGAGCAGTCGCAATGCTACCAGATCGAGGCGCCGCGGCACGAGGCGCTGATGCAGCAGTGCGGCGGCGCGCCGTGCGAGCCCGCGCCCGCGCCCGCACCCACGCACTGGTGGGTCGGCGCCTGGAACCCCTGCTCCACGCCGTGCCACATGCCCGTACGTACACCTATGCATTATTCATTATGCCACCTCTCACTAAATGGAGTGACGACCTGGTAAAACATGCAGGAAGCCGATGGGTGCAGGTGGCTCAGGACCGTGCCTTGTGGCATTCCGTAGGGGAAGCCTATGTTCAGCAGTGGACTTGTGAAGGGCTGTGATGATGATATCCACTCCACTATTGAACATAAGTCGTCGGGATGGCAATCGTAGTTTTATTATTTCCTGTTTCAGTTTTCTTCTGTCGCCTCTTACGATACCAAGAGGACGATTTTTTTTTTACAGAATAAGGTGTACAAACGCTCTCACAGACCACCTGATGCTAAGCCGATATGCTGTGGCCCATAGACATTTACATTTATTCTCAATTAATAATCAAAATGCAGATGCGTTGTCACCGCTGAGGACTAAGATGAAATGCCTCGATTCCAGTAAAAAGGGTCTCCGGTCCTCTACATACGAAACACAGCAGCATTAAGCTGCTATTTTACTCACGTATTCTGCAAAGCGTAGTCCTACCCCTATATACGTCCCACTGCTGGGCACGGGCCTGTTCTCACTTCTAAGAGGGTTTTAGGGCAAGGAATTGTCTGCCGTGCTGTCCCCAATGCGTGTTGACGGGTTTGTGCGGAAAAAATGTTGTCTACGCCCATGTCATCGGTGAAAATGTTTTCTGACGATTTTTTTATAGAATAAGGGTGATAAACGAGCTCACAGTTCACCTGATGGTAAGCGAATGCTGTGGTCGATAGACAACTACGTCTGTAGTACTAGATTATGAATCAAATTGTACCTAGTCTTGTTGGGACTAAGATAAAATGCTTTTTATCTTAGCCCTTAGATTTCCAGTTAAAAATGTTTCCGGTTCTCGTCACGCACCACACGAAACAGCAGCATCATGCTGATATTTTTTACTGGTAAATTGTAAGAGTACAGTCCTTCTTCAGCCTAGTCAACCTGTTCCATACTGCAGCCATTATCCCGCTGCATCGTGGCTCTACCACGTAAAAAAAAACAAATCGAGGCGAATAATTAATATCGTTAAATTATCTATTGTATAATAGTACCTAACCTAAATTGATTTTTTTACAGGGCGAAGAAGCAACGAAACAACGCAGTGTTTATTGTGTAAACAAATTAACGAATAATGTTATACAAGATTCCGAATGCGACATGGCCATAAAGCCTATAAGCATTATTAAATGTGCCGACGTTCCGGCGTGTTAAAACGAATGAAGTAAAACAATATAATGGAAAATAAAATTCATCGGGAAGATGATCTAACTTCATACGTATTTATGAGAACGAAAGAATTTTCAAAAGTTCAAATAAATGAAAATACAATTGAAGTAAATGTAACTGGAGAAGGTTACAAAAATCGATTGAAGATAAAGCACATTTGATGTTGCTAACAATAGACTATCAGCAATTACGAAGAACGAGAATAAAGAAGAGGGAAGTGTTGAACGAATATCAAAATTGAACATTATATGTAAAGTGCAACGTTTGGACATTTTAAGTGTGAACAATGTATTCGTGTGAGTGATTTGGAAGCCGCCGACTTGTGTATTTTTATCTTGCAATGATAATGTACGTATTACCCATCGAGTACTTAGACATATTCACTTACGCGTAAGTCCTCGAATAAGACCCAGTGGTGACGTGCGAATCTCGCAGGTACATGAGATAAATGCTCTGCAATTACCACTTACTGCCATATTATATAAGTGACTCTTAGTTTTAACATAGTATCCGATTAGTTTTAAAAAATATTAATATTTTAAAATTTGTAACTTCAGTATTAATATGATGTATGTATTCTTTTGAACTATATAAAATAACGGGACGTGAGTCTTAGTAGATACTATTAAAAAATTTGGACCAAAAATATATTTAATTCAAATTCACGTTGCCATAATCACGATTACTGCCAATATGACACTTGTATTATAAGTACATTATAAGCCTACCTTTAGATAATACTAATAAATTCTGCAGAATTCATATTTTTATACAAATGAATTGCTGTAGATCACAATAAATGTCGTAATTATGTAATAAGATGTTTATTGTGGCTGCGTATAGGAATAAGCAACTAGTCAGTGTTGAGCACCTGTTTTTCCGTTGACGTAGATCGTCGCTTACAGTTGTTGGTGAATACCGTTCAAACTATATACATTTATGTGGTAAATTCATAATTTTAACATTCTTAATATATTTCAATGTGTCGTCGTAAAACGTTTGCTTATAATAAAAATTTACCTAATACTTGATTTTCGTTAAGACTAATTTATATTGTATAAAAATATTGAATTTGTGAACGAACGCCTAATGTAGAAATACACGGATATTTATTTATAATATTATTGTCTGTGTCCTCATTACTTTTAACTGACAAAGCATAATTATAGTACTATTTTTATTTATCTGATACCTAACTGAAAGTTTTAGGTACAAATTGTAAAAATAATTCCTGATGTTTCAGTTCTAAGATACATCGGTGAATGTTTGTCGATCGATTGATACACAATTTTAATTTCAGGATCAATCTAAAACTAACCTTTAGTTACGATGTTATATTTCTTAATTTTACTACCTTACAGTACATTTATCACTGTGACTTATTAATTACAATTGTGTATTTAATTAATGATCGGAATAAAATCATGCATTTGTTTGACGTATTTTTTTATTTCCCATTATTATACTCCTAACTCCAACGTAAAACTCAATTTTGAAACATCGGCTTCACTCTTAAAAATCATCGTCAGTTTAAGAAATGCTTAAGTTGCTCTCTTTCTCTTTTTACTAAATGACAATACAAATGGACAGGCATGGAGATAATTATTACTTAAGTAATAATAAACGATTATAAGTAAGGTCATAATATGTAACTTTTAAAGAGCAATGGCAGAAAAATAGTTGACAAAAATTATAGCGTCTAGAAATAGGTTATATATAAAATGAGTTTTATTATTTTTCTATGATTTTTCAAATAAAAATGTATTTTAATTAAAGCCACAGAAAAAAAACAAAAATTTTTAGGAATATCAAATGACTTAAATCATTTTACTCTATTCAAATGTTGCCATTTAGTACATTCATACTATTTTCGTATACACTTTGTAAGACTACCAACACAACACACAAAATATTTTTATATTAAGTTATTATTAGTAATAACTGTACTATCAGTAATAATAAAAATATAAGTGATATGGCTAAGAATAAGTCTCTTACAAAGAATTTCCTACAATAATACATTATCTCAATCATAGTACTATGTAACAATTCCATTTAATGTTATGCCAACACTAGCTATAATAAAATGTCACTGTTTGTGATTGGCCTAAAGGTCTAGATGCCAGGCCATAAACTCCAAAAAAAAATGTCACTGTTTTTGTTACTGGATTTACGGCTCTGGGTTCTAGCCCTTCTAAGAATGTCACTATGATACAAAAGCCCTGGAGCCATGCCAGAAATATACATTTATAGTATGCAAATATATAATAGAGATACAATAATCTAAAAACTCTCAATTATGTATTATGTATTAAGCTAACATCAAACAACCACAGGAAGCATGACTTTTTCCAAGTGACATAGGGCATAACCTAAAAAGGTTCAAATGTAAATATCTTTTTTTTGACGCCTTCTCAGGACAAAATTCTTTGACAGAGTTATTAAGGGACTGACGCTTAACATTTTAAATATTTTTGGTATATAGACGCTACCATTTCTTCTCAACTAATTTTATGTATGAAAATCTGCCATTGTTCTTTAAATACTTATATAAATAATGGAATTGCAGTGAACAGCATATTGCCACCACCGAAGCGGCAGCGCAATGTATTGTACAAATAAGAATGGGAACGTCAATGACCTCGAATGACCGCGATCTGTCAACTGTCACTTGAAAAGTACAGCTTGCTTAAGAAAATTAATTTGCCTAATAATAAGGTTTTTTTCCGCTTTATTTTAATGAGTCTTATTATGAGCAAGTCTATTGAACTCATAATTCTTTTTATAAATTAATTTAAAATATTGATACTAATCGGTGGAATATTTTAAATACCTACATAAATCGATGTTTTATTTTTATAAGGGAAAGCAGCAGTGATTGATAATGGTGACAATGATGAGAACTCAGACAGTGATGCAGAGATGAGCAAAATTGAAATGCTAGATTCAAATTAATAATTATTCGTTCACTGTTCTTTTGTAAATAAATATTATTTCAAAAATATGTTTTGGTCACCCGTACCTAACTGGTTTGAATCGACAGCTATGACGTCTCAACAGGTCAGTCTTATTCTTATTTGAATCGCATAGAAGTGTGCGCAAACAATTGTCCACCGCGTCTCGACGTTGCGACGAGTTGTAAGCGGCGATACGCTATGACACCCGTGTGAGGCATGTGGAACTCAATGCCGAAATCATAACAAAAAATTAAATGCACCGGGAAAGCCCATGTGACCTCACTCTATAGCTCATGAGCTGCGTGCGTCATTATGCTTATGTTGAGACTTTTCATGATGTGTACAGTACTACGTCATGTTTTATTTAATTATTTATTTACTTAAGCTTTCATGCATAAAGTTGTACTTATGGCGGACTTAATGCCATAGGGCATTCTCTCCCAGTCAATCATTAGGCTAAACAGAGATATACAAACAAGAGGCGGTGCAGCAGTAATCAAAATAGAAAGCGCTAAAAGAAAAAAAATTATATACATATAAATATACATATACACACATATACATAGACATATATACTTAAATACACACAATATATACATATATAAATACATACATACACATTCATGTCGTGCGCTTATTCAGATACTACATAAGCGCAATGTGTAAATATGTTGTACGTGCCAAATTCAGTTAACCTATACAAATTTTGGTACATTTAACTAAAATATAATGTAATAGCTACAGAGAACTAGATAGTACTTTACATACTGCTCTTTGCAGTCTTTCCCATTTTCACTCGACAATATATCCACTTATCCACTCTCATGGCAACTCAAGTAATATTGTAGTTGGTACTGTTCAATGAGCCAATATATCCATCAGCCAATATAAGTCCACTGCTGACCTTTATGTAAGATACTCTTTAGTTAAGCCCAAGTTTCGAGCTGGTTCTTCCCAGAACAAAGGAATTATTCAAACCAAAAAAATCATGAGTATTATTTATTTTTTAAAATATAGCCTTGCATTCAATATAGTTTGTCTTTAGGTATCAAAGAAATTAATATGAAAGGTAATGTGGTGTACATTATTATACACAAAATTCCGCTCAAAACAATAACTTCGGGGCAAACTGAGCAACAATACCAAGGCGCCCGCACATTTCTGCAACATCAAGGGACTTTACTCGAACTTAAACGCCGTCCACTACCATCTCGAGACGGCGCAGCCGGCCTTGCTCTTTCTGACCGAGACGCAGGTGTCCTCTTCGGCTGATACTTCGTATCTCTCCTACCCGGGGTACAAATTGGAGCACTCCTTTGTGCCTCGGTCTGGAGTTTGTGTATACGTCAGAGAGGACATCTGTTCTCGACGCCTCGGCAGTCTTTAAGGTTCGGACCTGTCCATCCCTTGGCTATGCGTAGACAGACAGCGACGACCATCAATGCCCAATGACCAGTAATGCCGAAACAGACCGACTCATCGACTACGTCCAAATGGCTACAGATTCCTTGCTACAACAGGTCCCATCCGCAGAGATCGTGATCCTTAATGATTTATCCGAATGGCTCGGTTCACGTTTAACCGATCATGCGGAGAGATGTGTTTACAACTTTTTCTTGGCATATGGTCTGACAACTGGTTACATCGTCTACGCGGATTCCAGATGTTGAGGATCATACACCTTCCCTGTTGGACCTTCTGCTGTGACCTCTCATCCGGACGGATATCAGATTTCTGTCGATGCCCCTCTCAGCTCTTCGGACCATTGTCTGATCCGGAGTGTGGTGCCACTCACGCTCCCCTCGCGGTTGCGTTCTGCAGGTTGCCGCCGTGTTTGGCATTACGGATTGGGATGGAATGCGGTCTTTCTTTGCATCCTACCCATAGGGCCGGGCTTGCTTCTCGCCTGATGATCCCAGCGCTGTTGCTGACTCTGTCACTGATGTGGTGCTACAGGGAATGGAATTATTTATTCCATCATCTGTGGTACCCATCGGAGACAGATCTCAGGTTTGGTTTGGTCGCTCTTGTAAGACTGCTTTACGCAGCAAGCAGAAGTGTTATCAAGGCTGGGCTTCGGCTTCGGCGACTCGGGATGTAAACATCAGCATGCATAAAAAGAAGTATAACATCGCCTCCAGGTCTTTCAAAAGAGCTATTGCCAAAGCAAAGTCAGAGCACATAGACAGAATTGGCGAGAAACTAGTTCGCCTTCCTTCGGGAACCCGTGCATTCTGGTCTCTCGCCAAGGCTGTCCAAGGGAATTTCTGTAAACCATCACTACCATCTCTGCACAGGGAGGACAACTCACAGGCCCACGCCGCAAAAGAGAAAGCCTCCCTTTTTGCGTCAAACTCTACTCTTGGTTACAGGGGAACACACCGCCGACCATCCCGCGGTGTGAGTGCTCCATGCCGGATGTGCGGTTCTGACAAGCACTCCTCTCCCTGGACATCCACAAGTGTGTGGGCCTGACGGAATCCCCCCAATTGTGCCGAGGACGTGTGCTCCGGAGTTGGCACCGGTCCTAACGCGTCTTTTCCGGTACTCTTACTTCCAAGGCGTAGTCCCGAATTCATGGAAGACAGCTTTTGTCCACCCGATCCCTAAAAAAGGCGACCGCTCAGACCCGTCCAACTATAGGCCTATCGCGATCACCTCCTTGTTCTCCAAAATAATGGAATCCATTATTAACTGCCAGCTCATCCGGTACCTTGAGGATCACCAGCTGATTAGTGACCGCTAATACGGTTTTCGTCGGGGTCGATCAGCTGGTGATCTTCTGGTCTACCTGACCCATAGATGGGCGGAGGCAGTAGAGTCCAAGGGGGAGGCGTTGGCCGTTAGTCTGGACATTGCAAAGTCCTTCGATCGGGTTTGGCACAAAGCGCTTCTTTCGAAGCTCCCTTCCTATGGGCTTCCCGAAAAATTGTGCAATTGAATTAGCAGCTTCCTTGGAGATCGGAGCATCAATCGGTGCATTCTCCGACTACAAGCCTATTAACGCTGGTGTTCCACAAGGCTGTGTACTATCAACAACGTTGTTTCTTCTGCATATCAATGATATGTTGCAAACTGGTAACATTCATTGCTATGGTGATGACAGCACTGGTGATGGATTGGGGGCGACTAAATCTAGTCCAGTTTAATCCTCAGAAAACACAAGTTTGCGCGTTTACCGCTAAAAAGAACCCCTTTGTCGTATCTCTTCAGTTTCAAGGCACTCCCCTTGTTGTCTCAGCCAGTATCGGAATCCTCGGCGTCGACAGAGTGACTCGCTAGAGTAACTTGCAGTTTCGTGGTCACTTCGAAGAGAAGGCCAAATTAGCCTCTAAAAAGCTTGGCGTGCTCAGCTGAGCGGGACAATATTTCATGCCGGCACACCACCTGCAACTTTACAAGGCGCAGGTTCAGCCTCACATGGAATACTATTCCCATCTCTGGGCAGGCTCCCCAGTGCCAGCTCCTTCCACTTGACCGCATCCAGCGCAGAGCGGCTCGAATCGTCGACGACTGAGTCCTTTCCGATCGGCTCGATTCATCCGCACTGCGAAGAGATGTTGCATCCCTTTGCATTTTCTTTCGCATTTACCACGGGGAGTGCTCTGAGGAATTGTTCGGATTAATCCCAGCCGTCAAATTTCACGAACGCACATCGCGGCAGAACTCCCGATACCAACCACACCATCTGGATGATTGGCGGTCCACCATTGTGCGATTTAGAAGATGTTTTCTTCCTCGCACAACTTCCTTGTGGAATCGATTACCCTCGGCGATATTTCCGGACCGATACGACCTAAGGACCTTCAAGAAAAGAGCCTACTCCTTTTTAAAAGGCCGGCAACGCATCTGAAATTCCCCTGGTGTTGCAGTTGTTCATGGGCGGCGGTAGTCACTTACCATCAGGTGAGCCGCATGCTCGTTTGCCCCTCCTATAAAAAAAGATCCAACTTTCGAAAAAACAACGGCAATTTAAGTTTATTCAGTTACGTTACAGCTATTTTTATAGAATAAAGGTGACAAACGAGCTCACAGTCCACCTGATGGCCGTACGTGCGTAGTACGTAAGCAGATGCTGTGGCCCATAGACAACTACATCTGTACTCGATTTTGAATCAAATTGTACCTAGATAGTCTTGGGACTAAGATTTATTCAGCTACGTTACAGCTATTACACCTGTTACAAGACACTTCATAAAAATCATTAGGTGTTACGGTAAGAAGAATCAGAGGCAAAATAAAATCTTCTTGGTATTAAAATATTATATTTTCATTAATTTTTATTTTAACATACAGAAAGTTGAATCATATATTTCTTGTTTCAAAGTGACTAATGATAGTACCGTAGGAAACTATACCGTAGGAATTACATATAATCTAATTCATCCAACTATGTTTACTATTTATTCTTTTCAAATGGTGCAAAAAAATACAACAGACCTCGAATACTTGAACTGTCTTTAAACACATCGAGCGATCAGAGCAAGCGAAGTGTTCAGGCCCCGTTGGAAGTCGCGATGCCAATTTTGAAAAATTATTATTAATTTTATCAAATTTCAATAAAAAAATAACTCAAACTTAATATCGACTTCAATGAAATTTAGTACAGTATCAGACAAATCATAAAAATTAATTTATAATTTTATTGGCATGAATAAGAATATATTATTCACACAGTTACCGGAGTAGTATATGCAGAATTTTTTTTTAGATTGAGAAAAAAGGTAATGACATCTCTCATCTTTTGATAAATTTACAATCAGAAAGAACTACGCAACATAGCGAATTGGCGTCACATTTGCCATGACGAGAGTTTCAATTAAAATTATTAGCGATTCAAAGAAATACTAAGACAATACACATTATTATGATACCATTCCACTGCCCGATTCCTTTGCGGTAAGTGCTTCTGTAGAGACATCAAAACGAATGTTTTTCTTTTTATTTGGATGTTTCTGAAAACAACAGAACAAATTTTTAGTTATATTGATATTTCAATTTCAGTTCTAATATAAAACAAAAGGAACCATAGAGTACATAATTCAAAACTTTGTTTTGGAAAATTGCATTTATGATTTAAAATTTTGATGACCGCTATTACTTAGGGGTTCACCATGTAACCAAACTTTGAAATCATCATCATCATTACAGCCTTCCAGTCCACTGCTGAACATAGGCCTCTCCCAAGGAATGCCACAAAGCACGGTCCTGAGCCACCTGCATCCATCGACTTTAAAATAATATTTATATTTCACTTCATGAGGCCGTAATCATCATCATCAGGTGAGCTGTATGCTTGTATGCCTCCTCTTCCATAAAAAAAACAGGTTTGCAATGCCCACAAGCTGCAGAGAGCACTTAAGGTGGACCTGTTATTATAATATGTTCGTCATTCTAAAAATAAATGCAATGAAAAAGCTGACTGTCTTATTATTATGGGTATTCACGACAATTTTCCAAATACCCCTTAGATATGCTTCCCGAGAAATTATGTAATCGGATCAACAGTTTTCTGGCTGATCGGAGCATCAAGGTCATAGTAAACGGTCCAAGCTTCGATTACAAGCCTATTAACAAGACTGCGTCCTATCCTTCCGACGCTGTTTCTCATGCATATCTATGATATGTTGCGAATCGGTAACATTCATTGCTATGCGGATGGTCTGAGAGCTCATGACGCATTTTTCATGAAGTGTTTGGTGCATAATGAAACTTTGTTGAAAAGTACCAGTCCACTCAATAAGCAGGTATATGACTGTTTGCCTGGCCTACCTGGGTACACCTGGTACTGTGCATACAGATAAGGCTACAAAATTCGCCTAAAAAAATGCTTGATTCAAATAATAATAATGACTATCCATCAGCTAAGTTGATAAAAACTTAAGAAAAAAAAAATGGTAGACACTTATGAAGGGGTTGTCATAGGGGCAAACTACCCCAAGGTTGTAATTTCAAAAATTTCAAAAAAGGTATGTTTATTATATATAATAAAAAAATCTCACAAAAGGGCAGACAGTTTCTCCAGGGGTTGATAATTTAAAAATATTTAAATAAAGCTGATCTACTCACTGGTTACACGCCTTACCACCAAGTAATTTTAGCACATTACTTGACGGGGAAAGCTTGCTCATCGCCGTAAGAATCAGACAAGGAGTGGTCAACTTTGTCAACCCTATCAGTGCCTCTATGGTAACAGCGTCGATGAGTTTGGACTCCACAGACTTTCATGTAAGAAAAGTGTTGGTAGGTTTTCACGGCACGGTTCTTTGAACGATGATTATTGAGTGGAGTGATACTTTTCAACAAAGTTTCATGATGCATCAAACACTTCATGAAAAATGCTCGGACCAGGACTACAGAACTGGTGTTGCTTTATACACCGGCCGTGCAAATATTTCTCGGTCGCCGAGTACCGGAACAAACTTGTGTCTGAATTTGAGACTATGTTGAACAAAGTTTCGGATTGGGGGCGACTAAATCTAATCTAGGTCAATCCCCCGAAAACACAAGTTTGCACGCTTACTGCTAAATAGAACCCCTTTGTCGTGTCTCTTTAATTTCGGGGCACTTCCCTTGTTGCCTCAGTCAATAATGGAATCCTCAGCGTCGACATATCAAATGACGTGCAGTTTCCTGCTAAATTGAAAGAGAAGTCCAACTTGGCCTCTAAAAAGCTTGGCGTGTTCAGCAAATCGGGACAGTATTTCATACCGGCACACCGCCTGCAACTTTACAGGGCCTCACATAGAATACCGTTTCCATCTCTGGGCCGGGGCTCCCTAGTGCCAGGTCCTTCAATTTGATAGCATTCAGCGCAGAGTGGTTTGAATCGTCGGCGACCGAGGTCTTTCTGATCGGCTTGACTCACTGGCGCTGCGAAGAAATGTTGCGTATTCTATATACGATAGACGCTATCATGGGGAGTGCTCAGAGGAATTGTTCAGACTAATTTCACTGCTCAATTTCACCATCGCACATCGCGACAGAACTCGAAATAGCATCCGTACCCCGTGGATGATTGTCGGTCCACTACTGTGCGATTTAGAAGAAGTTTTCTTCCTTGCACAACTTCCTTGTGTAATCGAATACCACCAGTAATTTTTCCGGACCGATACGACTTAGGCACCTTCATGAAAAGAGCCTACTCTTTTTTAAAAGACAGGCAACGCATCTGCAATTCCCCTGGTGTTGCAGTTGTTCATGGACGGCGGTAGTTACTTACCATCAGGTGAGCCGTATGCTATGATGTTTGACTTCCTGATGTCATAGTTAACAAAGGCTACTTTATTAATTATATTATTATTATTATTGAGTAAGGTTAGGATGTTTTATAATTTCAATAGCCTAGCAATTAACTTTTTCTGCATTTTGAATCTTACTTGAAGATGGGTTTCTGTAGACCAATGTCTTACATCATGTGAAATGAACAAAAATATATAATACCTTATCTTTACTTTTGGAGTCGTTTCTAGAGCGTTCTTTTTCTAGATCAGAATGTAAAGTTGCTAACTCGGCAGTGAGTTCTGCCTGTACTCCTCGAAGACGTTCCACTTCCATTAGCACCTCTGCTTTGTCTCTCACTGTAATTAGTTAGTATTAAATGTTCATAAATACCATTAAATTAATAACCAACATCTAAATTCATAGGCCTATAATAATCCACTACTAAACATGTCTCCCACATTTAAGGAGGGAGCCTAACCAGTCATAATAAGTATCTGCACAAATAAAAACACAATGGGTATCATCACTATGATGTAAAAATAATTAATTTAAATAAATATAAATTGGAGTTTAAAAATGTCAACATACTCTCTCCCTGTCCAAGAATGTTACATAGCTTTTTATTTCTTGACTTTACTGTATGCAGTTCCTGTTTCAAAGCAACAATTTCCTCACGAAGGGCTGCTATTTCTTGATTTTTCTTCTCTAAGGCGTCAGCAAATTGTACCCTCGTTATGACTTCATCTGACACACTATTTTGATTTTTAATCCTATCAATTATTTTGTCTTTAAGCAACTCATTTTTAGTTTCATCTTTTACTCTTTCAAAAAATTCAGTATCTTTATCAGGAGATTTTTTTTCTTCAACTGCATCATCATTTTGAAGGACTGCAAGAGAATAAAACATTTATCCAATTAATATATGAAAATTCTTCATAAAAATTATTTTAAACAATAGAAATATGTAGTTACTTCTCGCATCTTCACCCGAATTGACCATATCATTGAATTGCTCCAAGCTCATAACATTTTTTTTCTTTAATTTTTTATTGCCTGCCTTTGCCTCACTCTTTTTTTCCATGTCTGCCTCTTTTTTAAGCTGCTTATACACATCTTTTTTTTCTTCAAAATCAAGTTTAGATAGAAGAATAGCCTGTAATACATATTCATTTGAAAAATGAATATGAACAAAAAGGTATGCAGCTACAATTTATTTATTGGTGAGCTTGAGCAATTTAAAATCTTTGAACCACAGCCAACAAAAGACGAAAACAAGAAATAATTCAAATTCTTATTTTTACAATCTATTTTTACCAAAAATAAGGAAATAGTAACATGTAAAATGCTTATGGCACTTACTCTATTATTTATTGAGTATATTATACAAAATTTTATTCTGTACATAAGTGGTGCTTGCAAAGGAAAGCTCAGCACCCTCTCAGACCTTACACCCTAGGCTCCAGCCTGATATGCCTGTGGGTAAATCAGGCCATGGGTGGACTGTAAGTTTGTCACTTCAGTTTTATTAAAAAAATTAGTCTTACTTGTTGTAATTCTGTCTCATAATTGCCATCAACAAGTTCCTCATCTTTCTGCTTCCATTGCTCCCACTGTTCTACTGTAGAGCCATCTTGCTTTTGTTTCTTTTTCTTATTAGAATTCTATTAAAATAAATATTACTGTTTTAATAAACAATGGTATAAGATAGGGGTGGCTAACCTTTATGTATCAATGTACCATTTTACTAAAGAAATATTTAATGAAGTCATGGATGTGCCATAAAATAATTTTGATTTCATGACTACAGACTGCGCCCGAACACTGCATAGTGTAGGATCACTTATGTTTGTTCATAATATAATATGTCATAGTGAACTTAGTGATTGATAGTGTGGCCAAAATATTGTGTCACGTTCCATTCCATATTGGTAAATTGTCTAATTTAAAAATTTACTTGCATTCCTTCTATTTTTGGTAGATTTTGTCCATATTTACTGTATTATGTAATAAAAAATTTAAATATTCACCATTTTTATTTTATTTTAATACTAGCTGTTCCCCGTGACTTCACCCGCATGTAATTAAGGTTTTAATTATGTTGTGCAGAACCCTAATTCTTTTTTCTAAAATATAAGTAGCCTAATTTACTCCTTATAACATGGCAGTGATAGTCCTGTCAAAATCGGTCCAGCCGTTTTGGAGATTAGCCTAAACAAACAGACAGACAGACAGACAAAAATTTTAAAAGATGTGTTTTTGTATATAACTATTTTGTATATATAATTACCTTATATACTTTCATATGCCTTTAGCTAAAAGCTGTTATTTTGACATTACAAACAGATACTTCAATTTTATTTATTTGTCTATACAAATAAAAAAAAATTTAAGTGTCTGTTTGTAATTATTTGTACAGATAAACAAGAATTTTTCAAATCGGACCGGTAATTCCAGAGATTAGTGCGTTTAAACAAACAAAGAAACAAAAAACTCTTCCGCTTTATTATATTAGTATACATATATGCATTTATATTAGGTTACACAGTACGGGTACAAACTGGGTTCGATCCCCACCGGCAGCAATGAAATAGTTAATTGCAATTTTAAGTGCTGGTTTACCACGTGCTTGGCGGCGAAGCTAAACAAATAAGTAAGAAACAAAAATATTTGTAATACATGTGAAATTCAGCAGCATGTATCATTGAGGCAGCGGGATGGACACTTTCTTGCCCTAAAACCCTCTCAGAAATTAGAGAAGGCCTTTGCCCAGCAGTGGGACACATATATGCTGTAACTTTAAGTTTTTTTTTTAATGCATTTATACTATATTTACATGATAAAACCCACTTACTGAACTCAAACTGGTACCTATAATACCTAGAAGTTGTCAACTACTGTGTATTATAGTCAAACCCAACAGTAGGCAAATGTAGTTCATTATTGAGTTTTAATCATATTGACAATAATAAGATTGACAATTTGCCTGTCAAATTGGCTAAAGCGCTTATTACATTATCCAATTTTTAGAAAATCTAATTAGGAACCTAAGTTGGAAGCTAGTGATCACATTACACTAAATTGAATTTTAAATCGTGACTAAGCAGTAAGCACATTCGTAAAAGAAGTATCGACGGGGTTGCACGTTTGATCGATGGCGCCGTATTTATCAAAACAGCAGAAAATAGGACTTGCCTTAGCCGTGGTGGGAACAATGGATATTAAAAAAAGATAAAAGAGAATATGCTGGGTTAAGGAATACTTGTCATTGTATTTGTAAATATTTAACAACACCTTGAAGCCCTCTTCACGCATTGCTTTTTTTAAATAGTTTTCATCATTTTTATTATATAAATAGGTCATTTACCCTATACAGGTCTATAATTTGTAATAACACTTCTTTTTCTGTGGACATGCTGCCACACGAACCACTGCTCAGTTCTGTCGCTTCACTCGCCATCGCAAAAAAATGTCGCACGCGCAGTCAAGACACCCACTTAGGTCGAAGTGCGGGTGCCGACTGGTCGTTCTAAATCGTAACGTTGCGATTACACTGTCCTAAATTGTAGACAATTTAGAAAGTAGAGCGGTCGGGACCTCCGACTTTAACTAAATCGGATCCTAACTGTTCTAACTATGATTACACTTTCCAATTTCCTAATTAGATTTCCTAAAAATTGAATAATGTAATAAGCGCTTAAGGCATCTCCCCACAATGGCAGCGGGTGATGTCTGGCAATGCATTTTTACTGGGCTGGTAAAGAATAAGAATCTCATTGAAGAGACATTAAAAAACACACACTTGACATGATTAAAAATAACATATTAATAAAAATACTTAGTTATGTTACAAAAGGTTCGCGTATTAGCACAAAATAATTATTATTATTAAATTAAAAAAATAAATAAAAGAGCACCTGAGATTTGTTACCATTACCCTTTGGCTTTTTTGAAACGTCACTTTTTTTATCAGTTAATGTTTTTGCCTTCTTGGGTTTTTGGTTACAATTCGATGGTGGAAAATCATCATCTTCGATGTTAAGACCAGCAAAACGCGATTGAACAATTAAGTCAGCCATTTTCAATTAACTTCCTAAAATACAAGAAGAGAGAATTGTATTCCTTGTACATGATTAATAAATCTATATTAAACTTATATTATTGACTTCTAGTAAACACAACAATGCATCTTGCAATAATTTTTCAAAGTAGGTGAGCCTTATAAAGAAAACTGAAACTGACATAAGTTACTGCACATATTGATACAGTTAACTCATCTGGTTCAAATACTTACTTATTTTTATCACAAATTTAAATACAGCTCAATTTAAATTAAATACAAATATCCACAAAATATTAGGCACCAGTTCTCAGAAACAGCCACAAGCCAAAGATATTTTTCACAGACTACTACTAAACCACAGATTACTGTATACCAGTCTACGATAAACTAGTAAACTAAAAGCTAAAACTACTATTTAATTTGCAAACCACAGAATTTACAGCACGATCTCTATACCATAGACTTAGAATATACTTACGCCAATGTATTTTAAGTCTATGGTTGGAGGTACGGCTTAAAAGATAGATAAGCATCCAAGCCAAAATTCTTAATTAAAAGTATTTGGCGGGTAACTTTACGTCACGTGGATCAAGTCAAAAATCAAAACACAAGACAAAGACAGTTTGTTTTTAAAATTTTACAAGGTTTAACTTTTATTAAAATGAAACTGGTGTGTAATGTAGAAGTTGTAAATAGACTCCACGCTAACGTTAATATTAGATCGAGTGGAAAATATTTAAAATCAACTTTAGCTTTAGGAAAGGAACCTAAACGAGACAAAGATTTTTTTCTAATTCATTTTTCATCAGCGAATAAAAGTGGAAATAAATATAGAATAAAATGTATAAAACAAGTGTTTGTAAAATGTTTAAACGAAGGAAAAGCTACCATAAGATTTGAAGAACCACCGCATGACGTATGTATTAAAAGTGAAGCAATACAATTAAAATGCTTTTTAAGATTACTAAAGTCATGTATAACGGGTGATGCAGACAATTCCCAGTTAAGTAACTTATCCAATATATCTGTTACTTCTGTAGAAAGTGCACCAATTAAAATGACTATTCGTGATCGGAGTGAATTTCCAATTAAAGGCTTTCCTCGGACTTTAGAATATTTGTACTTAGCTGGTTTAAAAATATGTAACTTTCGAAGGGATATTTTATTATTGAGCCGTCTTGTGCTCCTAGACTTAAGCAACAATGAAATTGAGAAATTTCCACCAGAAATGGGTAAGTACTTTGTATTGGGGAGAATTAAGTATATAATGTGACTTAAACTGTTTAGATGGGTAACTTTTGTATAATAAATGTATTACTTACAGGAAGGATGACAAGTTTAAGTGAATTATATTTATCCAAAAATAATTTAGGACTGAATGTCAGTGTCGACTGGAGGTGGTTATTAGGTCCGAAGGTATGAATTTCAGATGTTTCTCTTCTTCTTTTAAATTATGGCTTCTCTTGATATAATTCTGCCAGTATCAAGCTAGTCATGGGAGTGTCAAGTAAATATTTATTACATTAAAGAGTTCTCAATTTTACTAGTGGGTTTACAATCTACAACAAAAGATGTCACATTTTTAAATACCATCACCAAAATTGATTAGTAATTTTACAGTTTAACATTATTAGTACAAATAAAATCACACAAAATATTTGCAAAAGGAGTATACACTAGGGACAACAAATACTGGAAATTTACAGGATGCTGGACGTAATGGAGTAGGATATCATAGAGAGAGTGAGAAAGATTAGGACACTCAAAGAATAGAAGATTTATGGATCCTTCGTCTAGCCCACTTTCACAGATTGAGCAATCCCTAATCCTTATTTTAGCCAAGTACACTGGAGTACATGCATGTCTAAAGCGAAGGCGACAAACAGTAGAGGTGATTGTTTTATTAAAGTGGCGATATTGAAAGAACCAGGGTTTTGATGGGATATTAATTTGGACTTTGGAATAGTGTTTACATTTTAAAAGTTTAGACTGATGCCAGTTACTTTGCCATGTAGATAGAAGGCTGGATCCAGCCTTAGGTAGGAGTTCATATGCATAGAGGCATTGTTTAGGAAGGAAGCCAGATTTGGTAGCTTCTTTAGCTAAATAATCCACAATTTCATTACCTTAAATCCCACAGTGGCTAGGGATGCAAGCCAAGACAATTTTCAGCCCCTTTTTTTGGCAGTTGTATAGAGACTTTCTAATATTTAAAATTAGGGGGTATCTTATCTTAGACTGAAAAGGACTGAATGCTAAGCTTTGAAGGCAACTGAGGGAGTCTGAGAAAATGAGAGTCCTTTTCAGATTGTGAGATTCCGCATATAAAACTGCCTCTAAGATAGCTAAAGACTCACCTGTGAATACAGATGAGTCAAGCAAAAAGTTAAAATTTAAAATAATCTTGTAGTTAGGGAACCACATTGCACACCCAACTAATCCCTTGTCCCTTAGCTTTGAAGCATCATTGTACATAATTAATCAATCATGCCAATTTTGGAGGAGGAGCATATTTAATTTGTTATTTGCTTCAATAGTATTGTTACCTTTTCTGAAATTTTGAATAAAATCTGGGTTGAAAATTAGAGCCTCGTATGGAATATTGAAATGTGGATTACTACAGGCTTGATAAACAGGAGAGTGAACATTGACTAATTTAATATAACTTTTATAATACATAGCAAATCCTTGTTTTTTTTTTATAGGAGCGGGGGCAAACGAGGATGCGGCTCACCCGATGGTAAGTGACTACCGCCGCCCATGAACAACCGCAACACCAGGGGAATTGCAGATGCGTTGCCGGCCTTTTAAAAAGGAGTAGGCTCTTTTCTTGAAGGTCCCTAAGTCGTATCGTTCCGGAAAAATCGCTGGTGGTATTACTATTCCACAAGGAAGTTGTGTGAGGAAAAAAACATGGCGCTGGATGCGGTCAAGTGAAATGGGAAGGAGCTGGCACTGGGGAGCCCCAGCCCAGAGATGGGAACAGTATTCCATGTGAGGCCGAACCTGCGCCTTGTAAAGTTGCAGGCGTTGAGCTGACATAAAGCCGGCCTTCTCTTCCAAGTGACCACGAAACTGCACGTCGCTCGATATGTCGACGCCGAGGATTTCGATACTGGCTGAGGCAACAAGGGGAGTACCTTGAAACTGAGGAGATACGACAAAGGGGTTCTTTTTAGCGGTTAACGCGCAAACTTGTGTCTTCTGAGGATTAAACTGGACTAGATTTAGTCAGACACAAGTCTGTTCCGGTACTCGGTGACGTTTTCCCGAGAAATATTGGCACGCTGTTTCTTCTGCATATCAATGATGATTGGTGATAGCACGCAGCCTTGTGGAACACCAACGTTAATAGGCTTGTAGTCGGAGCATGCACCATCTACAACGACCTTGATGCTCCGATTTGCAAAACAGCTGGTGATCCAATTGCATAATTTCTTGGGAAGCCCATAGGAAGGGAGCTTCGAAAGAAGCGCTTTGTGCCAAACCCGATCGAAGGCCTTCGCAATGTCCAAACTAACGGCCAATGCCTCCGCCCATCTATGAGTTAAGTAGACCAGAAGATCACCAGCTGATCGACCCCGACGAAAACCGTACTGGCGGTCACTAATCAGCTGGTGATCCTCAACGTACCGCATGGGGTGGCAGTTTATAACGGATTCCATTATTTTGGAGAACAAGGGGGTGATGGCGATAGGCCTGTAGTTGGACGGGTCTCAGCGGTCGCCTTTTTTAGGGATCGGGTGGACAAAAGCTGTCTTCCATGATTTCGGGACTACGCCTAGGGAGCAGGAGTACCGGAAAAGACACGTTAGAACCGGTGCCAACTTCGGAGCACACGTCCTCAGCACAATTGGGGGGATTCTGTCAGGACCACTCGACTTGTGTATGTCAAGGGAGAGGAGTGCTCTGCGAACCGAGCGCTGTGAGAACCGCACATCCGGCATGGAGCACTCACACCGCGGGATGGTCGGCGGTGTGTTCCCCCCGTCATCAACAGTCGAGTTGGACGCAAAAAGGGAGCCTAAAAGGTCGGCATTCTCTTGTGCATCGTAGGCCAGCGAGTCGTCTTCCCTGTGCAGAGATGGTAGTGATGGCTTACAGAAATTCCCTTGGACAGCCTTGGCGGGAGACCAGAATGCACGGGTTTCCGAAGGAAGGCGAACTAGCTTCTCGCCATTTTTTTTTTATAGTATAAGGATGACAAACGAGCACACAGTCCACCTGATGGTAAGTGGTTGCTGTGGCCCATAGACATCTACATTTATCCTCGTTTCCGAATCAAAATGCAGATGCGTTGTCATCCGTGAGGACTAAGATAGAATGCCTCTTTTCCAGTAAAAAGTGTCTCCGGTTCTCTACACTCACCATACGAAACACAGCAGCATGAAGCTACTATTTGACGCTGGTATTCTGTGAGAGCGTGGTCCTTCCCCGGTTGAGCCGACCCATTCGTGCTACAACTATACTACTAATATAGCTGCAGCATGGCTCTACCACGGCGGATTTTTTTAATTCTGCCTATGTGCTCTGACTTTGCCTTGGCAATAACTCTTTTGAAGGACCTGGAGACGAAGTTATACTTCTTTTTAAGTATGCTGGTGTTTACATCCCGAGTCCTCCTGCTTACTGCGTAATGCAGTCTTACAGGAGCGACCAAACCAAAGCTGAGATCTGCCTCCGATGGGTACCACAGATGATGGAATAAATAGTTCCATGCCCTGTAGCACCACATCAGTGACAGAGTCAGCAACAGTGCTGGGATCATCCGGCGAGAAGCAAACCCGCCCCCATGGGTAGGAAGCAAAGAAAGACCGCATTCCGTCCCAATCCGCCGACCTGTAATGCCAAACACGGCGGCAACCTGCAGAACGCAACCGCCAGGGGAGCGTGAGTGGCACCACATTCCGGATCAGAGCTTGCCGTCTCGAGATGGCAGCGGATGGCGTTTAGGTTCGAGTGAAGTCCCCTGATGTTGCAGAAATTCACGGATAGCGTGGCAGGGGTCGCCTTGGC